AAACAGCACCACAAACTCCCTCATTCTCACCTTTAACTGGATGAGCATTCCTTCACAGCACACCCTTCCAGAGCACCACAAGTTATATATGTGTTCATTTTCTTGATTTAATTTCCCAGTGCTTGTAGCTTCTTTACTAGTGCCATCATCCCCTGAGGAAAACAAGTGAAAGAGAACTGCAATTTCACAAATTGAGGCACCATAGTGCAGTAGAAGGCTTACAGCTCACAATCCCACAGTACAGAGAAAGATTCTCTACAGCCTAAATGCCAGTCTAAACCCAGCTTTATCCAAATACTAAAGCTGGATCCCTGTCATTATGGAACTCACCAACAAGAGCAAAGTTACTTTCTAGCAGCTCCCTGTGAGTGTTGAACCAAGCATGAGCCAGGCGGTTGTTTTTGTTCTTCCCAATGATGTAGTTCATGATGTAAGCCAGGAGACCTGTCACCATCAGGATCTCCATGTAATAACTCTCCCAGCTGTTTTGAAGGTGAGCAGGGACCTGTGTAAGGGAACAGAAACTGATTTACATATTGAGCAAGTGGATTGTATACACACAAAAATTTGGGAAACACAGAATAGTGGAGAAGTTCCATCCCCAACACAGCAATAAGCTCCACAAAGGCAACAGGAGAGAGCTAAGCCTACATAATGCACTTGGCTTACTGGGGCACGGGAATCATACAGGAAACAACTGATAACAGCATTCTCAAAATACCTGCTTAATACAAAAAAAGGACACACTTCCAGGTGAGCCTGGGCTAGCACACATCCCTCAGAGTAAACAGCCCAGTACTTCAATTCCCTGAGCATTTGAGCTTGATACCCTGCCCATCACAGCATTATCTGATCATCACATAACTTCTCTGCAAATCCAAAGTAACACCCAACGCCCAGGAACATTCTCAGGATGCCAGCAAGAGTCACAGGCTCCATGGGGCAGCAGGGAAGTCTTCCTGACTTTGCCACCTCTGAGGCTAATTAGCCATTCTGTTATCACTGTACCACCCTTGAGCCATAATAGTACCCAAACCTTAATTTTCCCTGCCAAGATCAGCTATAATACCTAAAAAGAGATCTCAGGTGTAATAAAAAAAGCAGGCCTTGAGCACTTGATCATTCTGTGAAAGACTATTTTAGGAGGCAAAAAGGTGATAAAGGGTGGGCAGAGAGATTGGCTTCAAAAACCAACCAAGCTGACAAGTTCTAATCTGACATTTAAACCCTAGACAAGCTAAAAACACACCGTGTTCATTGTTTAGTACCCAGTGACATTCCTGGCATACTGTCTTAAGAAAATAAGTGATGCAACTCCAAACAGAAAGTGGATCAACAGTTATACCTACACTGACTATTGTTATGGGATCTTTATTTTTGCTATGGGACGCGTCTGGTTTCTCTTCATACCCTTCAAACTCCTCATCATCGTATGGTTCACTCTCAGTGTCACCTTCCTAAAGGATGAAATCACAAACAGCATGAAAATCCAAATCCAGCAAGTAAAATCTCAAAAAAAAAAAAAAGAAAGGTGCAGGGACACTATTAGGAAACACACTGAGGATGGAGACAAGGCCTTACCTGTGTGTCTGCATCATCAAAGTCTTCCTGATTTTCATCCTGACCTTCAAGCTCTACAGTGGCTTCTTCTTCATCATCTTCTGTAGTGATGACCCTCTGAGGAGACTCTGTGACTGTATCTTCACTCACATCCTCAAATTCAGCAAAGTCATTATCATCATATTCCATAATGTCATCTCCATCCTCAAATTCATCATACTTTGCCAAAGAAAAGCTCCATGGGATGAACAGGACAGCAATAAAAATATATAAATTCTTCATTTTCACTAGAAGAAAAAATTAAATCATTGCAAAGAGTTCTTGTCAATTCTGTTACATCACATTCCATTAAGCTTCAACACACAGTGCACAATATGAAAACATTACAAGTCAGACCAGAGAGAGAAACAAATCCCTGCCTGATCTTGCCATCTTCTCTAAAAAGAAAGTGATTACTGGTACAAGAACAAAATAACTCTGAAGGAGAGGTTCTGGACGCTGTTGCTTGTGGCAGCAGCAAATTCACATCTGGCCACACTGCTCAAATGAGCTGAGATGGAAAGAGCTTTTGCCCTCAGCTTCTGGTCTTTTCTGCTTGGGCTCAAAACAGTCCCAAGCTCCCCTTCAGGTTGGGGCACCTTGTCCAAAAAAGGCAGCAGCAGCCCCCCAGCTGCATTTCACAAGCAGGCACAGAGGATCAGCTGCACCAGGCTCTGCTGTCAGGCTCATTTTACTCCCTCCCGCAACCAGATCCGAGTGGGAACCCGAATGTTAATCAGAGTGTTCTCTCACAAACTCAGAATAGAAATGATTTGTTTCTAAATTTGACCAGCATTCCTCTGAGTGCCTCACGCAGGGAACCCACTGCTAAGAATGACAAGGACGACTGAAATAAACACCTTTGTCAAACACTCCTCACTCCAGCAAAAACCTGCACAGAACATGGGTACAGAACCTTAATCTGGATGGAAAGTTAGCAAGGCTGACCCCAGGAATTTGGAATATTGTGTGGGAACCTCATAATTTGATATTAATTTAAGCAGAAAAAAACCTCCAAAATACTATTTCGATAGGACAGAACTTGCACTCTGTTAAAAACGACAGGACAACAGAGCCACCTGCTCGACCAAACTCTAACATTTCACAGTAAGAATTCACAGACTGTTTGAGCACACACTTCAGAAGACCCAACAACTCCAAATAGCTTCTTGCAAAATAAACTTCTGCAGCCAAGTCGAAGGACACAGTTGAACCAGAGGTGGGTGAGAGCTGGAGCACCCCCTCAGGGCAGCAATCTGTCAGAATGGGCTCCAAGCACAAATTCCAGGAAGCAGAATATCCTTGGCAGGCCCTCCACGACCCACACACCACCGACTTTCCCTTGCAAGAGGAATCGATTCATTCTCCGACCTCCACACCGGCTGCCCAGGCCCCACCGGCAAGAGAAACCATTTCCAACAATCTCCGGCAAACGCGGCTGCTGCTGCTGCTCCCCGTACCGAGCATTCCCCAGCCTGGGGCTGGCTCAGCAGATCCCGAGCCTAGACCCGAGCTCCGTGGCACGTTTTGGAGCAGCGCTCGTCCCCAGCAGGTCGGGCCCTCACCGTGACCGCCGCCCGAAGCGGGGACACCGCCGCAGGTGTTCGTTATCCCGCCGCTCCCGGGACGCTCCAGCTCCTTCCCGGAACACGAGTCAAGGTTACCGAGATAAAATCAGCGATCGGCGGCGCTGGGCGCGGCCCCTCTCACACCCCCGGGGCGGTGCCCGGGCCCCCGGCCCCGCCGCCAGCTCCTCCCGCCCCGCGGGGCGCAGCACAGGCCGCGCACGCCCGGTGCCCTCCGCGCCAGCCTCCGCTCCCGGGGACCCTGCCGGTACCGAGCTCCCCGGAGGGAGCGAGCCCCGCCCGGCCGTCCCGGCAGGTGGGAGCGGGGTGTCCCGTCCGGCGGGGCCGCGGGGGCCGGGGCCGCGTTACCTGAGTCACGGGCCCAGCCCCCGCCTTGCGCTGCGCTCCGCTCCGCGCCCGCCGTACCGGGGCGCCTGCGCACTGCGGGCCCCGCCGCATGTGCGGGTACACACGCGTAGGCGGGGTGGGGAGGTGAGCCCAGCCCTGCGGCGCGGGAAGCGGCGCGGTCCCGGGGCAGCCGCCAGCGTTACCTTCTCTCGGTTCCGCTCCCGGTTTTCCCGCTCCCGCCTCTGCCCGGTCCCGCCGCCCTCACTCGCTGCCGCTTCACCTGCGGGCGGGGCGCATGCGCCGCGGGACGCGCGTCACTCACGCACGGTGCGTGCCCACGTCGGTGCGTGGCGTCCCCACCCCCCGCCCCGGTAACCGGGGAAGTGGCGGCGGCGGCTGCGGGGCCGAGGGTGAGTGAGGGGGCTGAGGGCGGGGAGCGGGGCCGGGCCGAGCCGGGCACGGCGGCGCGTCCTCCCCCGCCGGCCTGCGGGGCCTCTCGCGGGCGAGAGCCGCCGTAGCCGCGGCCTGGAGCGGGCGCGGGCAGCCCGGGCCTGCCCCGCACAAAGGGCCCGCCCCGCACGGCGGTTCCGCGGGCGGGAAGGGCCCCGCGCAGGGCCCGGTGTGCCGGGACAGCGCCTGCCCGCGGCTTCTGTCCCCCCCGGCCCTGGTCGCTGCCGTGCCCTGGGGAGGGCGGTCCCGCGGGCCGGGGTCCCTCCGCCATTCCCTCTTGGCACGGGAGCGTTCCAGGCGAATCGCGGCCGTGCCGCGGATCCCGGGAGCCGCGGGCAGGGTCCGTGCCCCGGGGGTTTCCTCCCCGGAACGGCGGCCACAGGGGCAGCGAAGCCTCAGGAGTTTCCCTGCGGTCTCTGCGTCCTGTGGGAACCTTTCTCTGTTCAGTCGCTGCTGGCGAGTGGGCGAACTGACCGTGTTTGACTTTTGCTGTTGTCTGACAATAAAAAACTGATCGTCCTGATTTTTTGAGGTAGCGGAAGGAGGAAAAAGGTGGATAAGTACAGTGAGGAAGAATTCTTACAATCAGATTTTAACTCAACAGTTTTCAAAGATTCCCACTGTGCTGTCACAGCAGAAATGCGGTTCCACCTCTCACCTCTTTATTGTAAGTTTTGATTCCCAGTGCCGCGGATCCGCAGGTGTAAAAGCTAGAGAGTGTGTCAGGACAAGAGGGAAAACAGGACTCCATGCTCAGTGCTGCCATGGAGAACTGAACTGCAGAGTTTCCCCCGAAATCTGCTGCTGAGCTTTGGTCAACTCGGGATTTATTGAGCAAGCCCCAAGCTGGTAGATGTTCAGCACAGGGACCAGCTGCACTATTTACCTTCAGATTGTTTGGAAGTTGTTTTGCCAGTGAGTTCTGATCTCTTTGAATAGTTTAATAAGGCTTGCAGCCTTTAGACAGCTAATTATAATGCAGTGGAAAGCAGTGGGTGTCTTGCTCTCTTTCCTGCCTTACAGGTATGATTTGTTTGACCATGCAGATAATTAAATGACTCAAGAATGAAAACTGTAAATATTAATATATCAGTTCAGTTGTCATCTTAGAAAATCAAGTTTTGGGCAGATACTGTTGTGCGGAGTGGTTAAGATAGTGTTTGAAAAACAGAGATTGGAGAGCATATAAAAATGTATAATATAGAGATCGTGTATATGGCTGAAGGTTCTGCCTTGAGAAGGAAAGGGAGTTGGCTTTTTGCAGAGCTGTGCCTGGGCTCACACGGAGCCTTGTGCTGCTCTGGGCCCATTTCTCTGAGGTTGCTGGGTTGCAGGAGTGAGGTACTGACAAGCCATGAAACTCAGATGGGACAATGTGGACATGCAAAATATGCACTGAGCTGCCTTCTCATCTCTTGTTCCTCCTGATGTTCAAAGTTCTTGCCTTGGGTTTGTTTGTCTTAGATTGCAAACAGGACGGGTAACATCTTAAATATGTTTAAGTAATCCTTGAAGGACACGACGTGTTCTGGGAGACAACCACTTTATTTTTATTCTTCTTTGGAATTGTGGATAGTTCATACTGACAAAAGAGCAGAGCCCCATCCTTTTTGGGAACAGATTAAACTCTTGTCACTCGGAGTTCCACAAGTGCCTGGGTCATGACTGAAGTGATCGACTAACAAGAAAAATCATGACAGTTACCTCTAAGTGCCTGAAGCAGGAAGGCCATTAATTTGTCTTTACTCATTTTAACAGGTGTATTGGGGACATCATGAATTGGAATAAAGGTGGACCTGGCACAAAGAGAGGCTTTGGGTTTGGTGGATTTGCCATAACACCTGGCAAGAAAGAGGAGCCCAAGCTGTCTCAGCAGTCGCACAGCGCGTTCGGCACCGCCGGCTCCTCGGCGGCGTTCGCGAAATCGGGGCCCCCTCAGCTGCCTTCCTTCTACAAAATTGGGTCAAAGAGAGCCAACTTTGATGAGGAGAATGCGTGAGTGCACTTACTTCTGGTGTTTATGGAGCTCTAGATTGTCATGGTTTTATGTTTCTGAGGTTGGGGGAAGTACTTCTGACATTTATATAAATAAATGCACAATAATATGCTTAGAACACTGTGAGTTACTACGGTAGCCTGCAGAATCTTTCCTCCTCCAGCTTTCCCCTGTCGAGAACATATTTTATTCACTCTATGGTGTTCTCAGAGTTGGAGCCAAGCAGGATAAATGTGGGTATCTTTTGCATAGGAAAACATTGATCACCATAATTCTTTACTAACCCTTCTCTTGGCTCCATGAATGTGTAAATAAGGCTGAAATAAGCCTGGAGAAGTCTGGGGCTGACCTAATTGTGGCCTTCCAGTACCTGAAGGGAGCCTACAAGAAAGATGAAGAGAGACTATTTTATGATACCTATTTGCCCTGCCATCACTTTGAACTTTTAACATGAGTAATTATGAATAAATAAACCTCAGCCTCTTCTCTTGTCCATACTGACTTCTGTTGTCCATGTGGGTGCCTTGATCAACCAGAAGCCATGGAAGACAGCACAGTGCTGTAAACCATGTGCTGACTGGGCTGTTGTTCATTTTTTTCAGGTACTTTGAGGATGAAGAGGAAGATTCCAGCAATGTGGAATTGCCCTACATTCCTGCAGAGAATTCCCCCACTCGGCAGCAGTTCCACTCCAAGTCAGCAGACTCTGACAGTGATGATGATCCTCTGGAGGCATTCATGGCTGAAGTGGAGGCAAGAGCCAGCTCGGGGAATGTTTATTCATTGCTGTGTTGTACCTGTGTGCACTCAAATGTGGGGCAGCAAATGTCACTCAGGGCTTTGGCAGCTGCAGTCAAAATGCCTCTTAACTTCGGGGTTGATGTAGGATGGTGTTAGCTGGAGCTCAGAAATGGGTTAGATAGACAGAGAGTGAACATGACTTCAATAACTTAACCATTTGACTGCTTTGAGGGTGTCAAAACAATACAACATAGAGCTCGTGTTTTTCACTACCTAAATGGAAATTGTATTTATGATGAACTGTTTTCTTAGCTACAGCTATGTTATTAGTTGCATTCAGGAGGAATATGGGGAATTTAATTTTTCAATAACACTGTTACAAGCTTAGAGTAGTATATAAATTCAAAGGTACTAGTAGGAGAATTTGTTTAACATAATCAGATACAGAACAAGACGAAGTTTAGTCCAAGAAGTGTTGTCTCTGTGACATAATGGTCTAATTATTCAGGAACATTTTTCCCTTCCATGTTTTACCATCTTGGTCTTTTTAACATGTGACACCTTTATGACCTGCCAGGATCAGGCTGCTCGAGACATGAAGAGACTCGAAGATAAAGACAAAGAGAAAAAGAACGTTAAGTAAGTTCTCTTTTATCATTGCCATCCCTGTTGTGTGTGGTGCTCAGAGAATTCCAGTGCCTTTTGCTGCTGATGGTTGTTCATTAGACAGTATAGCATACACCTAATAAACATCATTAACCTGTGCATGAGGCTGTGGGTAACGACTTGGCTGGAAAATGGGATAATAGGGGAGAATCCGTGGCACATCCTGTGGCAAACTGCACCCACACTGAGACTTATCCCACACGAGAAGCTTTTCTAGGTCACAGAAATCGGGGCAGCATGTTGTACTCCTGCCACTTTCCAGATCAGCCTCTGTTGGTTTTTCTGCTTCCCACACCCTTGGAGGGATCAGAATGGTTTAGGTTAAAATTGCATTTATGTGAGCAGAATAACTCAGTGCTGCTGTATTTGGCGTATTGGAGACTCTTCTAAACTTGGACTAGGTTTTTAGATATTAAAGCTAATAGATTAGGCAGCACATGACAATTGGGGTACTAAATTTGGAGTTGAAAACAGTTTAAATTTGTGTAGCTTATCTATATATTTATTTGGATTAAGGAAGATAATTAGGCTGTTGATTCTTGATAGAAATGTCAGATATCTTGGTAGAAGTTACATTGCATGGGGTTGATGAGATTATACATGGTCCTGACACAGAACACCGGATCCAAATCACCACCTGGGGAAGTTCTGACCTGGATTTGCACTTCCTGGCTCATATTCCTCTTCAGTTATGGGACTTCTGTAGCATCGAGAGCTTAGACCAGGATGATCTTTGCTGTGGCTTCTGCTGGGAAGATGGAATCCTAATCTTTCAGTCTCAGTACTAGAAGTAAAGAGAAGTCTTTGCAGGGTCACTGCTATGTTTGGCACCAGATATGAAAACTCCGTGGGTTGGGAATATAAATGTTGCCGAGTTGATAGTGTTGTGTCTTCCACGAGATCTGGAGCTCAGCACTGATCAAATGAAGCTGTTGAGCTGAGTCTGTGGAACACTTGCAGGGAAGTTTTTTCTCCGCTTGTTTTTCCAGGGGTATTCGAGATGACATTGAAGAGGAAGATGACCAAGTGAGTTCCTATGCAGTCTTTCTATCTTCTTTTTTGTTGTTTTGTATCTTTTAACTTTCCCTCTCCAAACACGTAACTACTAAGGACAAACAGAATCCCAGAGTCATGTGCAGTCTCTGGACAGTTCAGCAGGAAGCTGTAGTGGTCACCCTGCTGTCTCTACCCTTCTAGGTGTTCTAAGAAGAATATTACACAACTGCATTCACTGAAGAAGATTTTTTTCAGTCAGTTTGAACTTAAGCTTCCTGTACAGGTTGTTCAGTGTCTGAGGATCTTGCACATTACATTAGCACAATCAGCCCCAGGGGACACCAGGGAGAGGCTGTTGGACTGTGCAGGCTCCTTGCAGTGAAATGTGGGTTCTGTTCAAGGAAGAATCAGGCTTTTGATCCTTATTTCCAGAGAAGCTCCAGTTCTTGTTGAGGTTTATAAGCATCACTGTAGGAGAAATAATAAAGAGAAAAGACTTAATTTCAAAATGTACCTTCCTACAGAGTTGTAGTTGCTAAGTCTTGTGTTACTTGTCTTAGTGCAGAGCTTGGCAGGGTTGTCTGGCCTTGAGGCCTCTGCTTCCAGTCTGCTGAGTGTAGCTGTGCCAGAGTTTGAGCAGAGGTGACTTTATGCTTGGGCACAGCTGTTGTTCAAGTGCATTGTGTGCACAGCTCTGTGACCGAGGGATAATTGGCCAGGAAAATGGAAAAGCCAGATGAATATATATGTATATTTGTAATTGAGCCTTGCTTTACAGATCTGATCTCAAATATTGGCTTCATGTCAAGTGAGACTGGTGTTTTCTCTATGAGAAAGTCTCACCCTGGTGTTCCAGTGAGAATCTGAGAAACACAAACATCTTTGTGAGCTCTGAGGATGGCACGTGACAGGATGACTGTCTTAACTCAGGCTCATTTTCTGAAATACTTTCTTTCACGTTTGTTGTTGACTCTCTATGAAAAATAGATATATTTTCATTTCCTAAAGTCTAGTTAGGGGAAGTAAAGAAACTATCTTTAGCACAACCTGTTTTAAAAAAATCAACATCATATGCTTAGTAACAAGGTGTTTTCTGGTTAAAAACCTACAGTGTTTTGTTCTTTGTCCTTTGTTCATGTGGAGATAAGAATAGATCCTTCAGTTGTTAGACATAACAAGACTTGGTAGAAGGAGTTAAGCAGACACGAGAGGTTTGGTTTTTTTTAGGAGCATTTTGTGGTGTAGCTGACACTGGAGTTATTTTCTTCATTTATACTTCTTGTCCTTCAGGATGTATGTGTTGGTGTTGATTAGAAGAATCAGTTCTAGTGAATGTAGTTGCCTTTTTCCTCGTGGTGGGTGTGCAAGCAAACAGCCACTTAGCACAGCCATCACTTCAGGCAGCAGCAGTGGCTGTGCCTGCCGTGGCTGTGAGCTTGCTGATGTGTTTTGCTGCAGGAAGCGTATTTCCGCTACATGGCTGAGAACCCCACTGCTGGTGTGGTGCAGGAGGAGGAGGAGGATAACCTGGAGTATGACAGTGATGGCAATCCCATTGCACCATCCAAAAAAATCATTGATCCTCTTCCACCTATTGACCATTCAGAGGTAGGAGGGAATTCTGTTCTGTTCTGTTCTGTTTGAGGCATTCCAGAAAGCAGGAGCTGAGGAGGCCCCTGTAATATTTCAGAGCTTTCTTAGGTGAGTCATACTAAAGGTCCTTGAAATGGCTTCATTTAAGCAAGTATTCTGGAATTAAGAACTTCAGAAAAAAAAAAAGGGATCTTGAATCTGGACTAACTGAGTAACTAATTAATGACATTGCAGATTGAATACCCACCATTTGAGAAAAATTTCTATGATGAGCACGAGGAGATCACCAGCCTGACCCCGCAGCAGGTGGTGGAGTTACGGCATAAGCTGAACCTCCGGGTAAGCTGGGCACAAAAGTGCCCTCCCAGCAGCTTTGAACCCCCTTTCATTCTTGGACTATCTTAGTTCTAATGAAGATTTTCACTGGGAACTCCAGCTTTTGAATCCAGGCCTCTCAATCACCTGCAGTGATGTTGATTTCTTGAAGTCTCCCATGTATTTGTGGAAGTGGGCAGTGAGGAATGCTGCTTGGACTAAAGACCTCCAGAGCTAGGAGTTCAAACTGGAAATAGATGCAGAAATTAGTTCTTTGCCATTTGTGATGTGTTAGTGGGGTGGCCTTCTTTGAAGGGAATTATTTGGGGTAGAGCACCAGTTAGACAAAAGGAGATAAAAATGACATTTAGTAGCTCATGTTGATTGACAGATAATTGAATTTTTATACCTGAAAGTCTTATTTTCACAATGCATCTGGAATTTGCACCCAGTTAAATTTAATGTCCACTCAAAAAGTAAAGTTATTTTTCAGAGGCAGAGAGACCCTTTTTTTTTTTTAAACAGATTGCTCTTTGTTTTTCTCTCACTGTTCATGAACGAAGATCTTTTTCTCTTTCCAAGGTCTCCGGGGCTGCTCCTCCAAGGCCTGGCAGTAGTTTTGCTCATTTTGGGTTTGATGAGCAACTTATGCATCAGATTAGGAAATCTGAGTATACCCAACCCACTCCAATACAATGTCAGGTGAGTTGTTACTTCTCAAACTTGTAAAGAGAGCAAAAAGAACACATGCAAAGCTCCCTCATCCACATGAGGATGTGACAAATGCAATTCTAGTTGCCTACAGAATGGGCTTTTCTAGAAAAATAGCTTTGATATTTTTAAAATAGGTTACCCACTTTTTTCTTGTTAAGTGACCACTGTAAATATATCCTTTCTTTTTCCTTTTTTTTTGGTGAATGAAAAACTTTCAGGTGATTTCTCTTGCTTAGAGAAACGTTCAGGGTTTTTTGTCGTGGTTTTCCTCGTTACCTGAGTTCTCTTGTACCTGTCTAGCACAAGGATGTGCCACAGTGGGCATAATGTGGGCTTAGAATCTCCTTCTTTTCAGGGTGTCCCAGTGGCACTAAGTGGCAGAGACATGATTGGGATAGCCAAGACTGGAAGTGGGAAAACAGCTGCCTTCATCTGGCCAATGCTGATCCACATCATGGATCAGAAGGAGCTTGAGCCAGGGGATGGTCCCATTGCAGTGATCGTCTGCCCAACCAGGGAGCTCTGCCAGCAGGTAGGTGTGTGGCATTCCTGAATGTGCCAGCCAGTCTGCTTGGAGAAGAAAGCAAAATTCTTGGCAAAAATTACCAGAGAAACTCAGGAAAGTATTTGAAAAAACTACTTTGTGCATGAGTAGCCTGGCTTCAGCTCACAGCTCTTTCCTTCCATTGTTTTTCTTGAAGGATCATGACAAACCTAAAATTTAAAATTTTTGCACAGTGCTCCTATATTATTTTCAGGTATAAGAATGCTGTGGATGCATTGTGACAAATTGCATGTGCAAAAGGATAAAGCCTGCAGGTTAAATTATTGTTGGATGCCTAAATAGGTTTCTCAAGTTACTGGAAATTATCTACATGTGCTGAAGTATTCACCCCTGAGGAGCTGGGAATAATTTCATTAAGTTGGCAGCTGAAGAGTGCATTTCAGGAGCTGTGCTGCATTTCCAGGGCAGGTTGTTGTTGTCTCAGCTGTGTGATGTGAGCTGTGCTGTGCTGGTGTCTCCCCCTCAGATCCACTCGGAGTGCAAGCGCTTTGGCAAAGCCTACAACCTGCGCTCCGTGGCCGTGTACGGAGGAGGGAGCATGTGGGAGCAAGCCAAGGCCCTGCAGGAGGGGGCAGAGATCGTGGTCTGCACACCAGTAAGTGTTTGTGAGCACCAAAACCAGGGCTTTGCACTGTTCAGCTCGAAAAAGCTGTAAGAATCTGTTCCTGTGATGTGAACATTGACACTTAGTTCCAGACAAAAGCCATGAGATGTTTTCTGTTCTGTCTCTGGTAAGTTAGGGTGAAAAGCAGCTAGGTGGTTGTATATATTAATGTGTTTTTAAAGGTGCTTTATAAACTTGGAGTCTTTTCTTACTAGGGTCGTTTGATTGATCATGTGAAAAAGAAAGCTACAAACCTGCAGAGAGTCACGTACCTTGTGTTTGATGAAGCTGACAGAATGTTTGATATGGGGTTTGGTACGTATTGAACCAAAGTCACTGTTTTGGGAAGCACTGGTGCCCAGTCCCAGCTTAGGGAGTCTGTAAAACTAAATAGTGAGTGAGAAGCACTCATTCTTTCTGTGGTTATATGTTAAATAAAACAATGAAACTGCATTTTGAATTATTTTTTATAAATAATGAGTGTACAGGGTTGATTAGAGCATTTCTTCTCCTTTGCAGAATATCAGGTCAGATCAATCGCGAGCCACGTACGTCCTGACAGACAGAGTGAGTACACAGTGAGTCTGCAGCAGAGCTGGATTTCCAGTTCTGGACACAGCCACGCCAGGAGACTTGTGCCAAATCCACTGGTGTTATTCTCAGCGTGGGCTGTTGGGAGGGAGCAGTTGTGACATGTGGGCATTCAGCTCATCTCTCTGTAATCCCTCCACTGACTGCACTCAGAGCAAAGATGATTAGCTGAATTCATGTTCATATGCCTTGAAATTCAGTGTTCTGAGCTGCCATGAAAGTTCACAGCAGTGCTCTGTATTATCAACATTTCAGATGCCATGAAATGTGTTTCCACTTCGTGGAATTCTAACAGTGGTTGGTCATTTCCATTAGAACCCATAAAACCTCAGCTTCAGTTCACTGAGACTCAGAAATCCAGGTCCTCCTTCATAACATCTGTGCAGTGTTGTCACAGTTGTGAAAAGAAGTTTGTACTTCAAGGAGTTTGAAGCCTGTTTGTCTTGCAGCCCTCTTGTTCAGTGCCACGTTCCGTAAGAAGATCGAGAAATTGGCCCGGGATATTCTGATCGACCCAATCCGGGTTGTGCAAGGAGACATTGGAGAGGTAATTCCATGGTACTTGGGAGGCACTCAGAGCAAGGAATTGTTCTGTTTCTGTTCTCTGAAATTAAACTGCAAAAATCATCATTAATAGTTAGTTTTAAATAATTTGTGCTTAGCAAAAATAGAAAGTTTTGTGGGTTTCTATTTTTATCTTATTGACCTCTCCACCAACAAATTCTCCCATAGTGTTGGGAGGTTTCATCAAGGGGTAGAACATTAATGCAGTGGTTTATTTTTGTTATTAGGCTGAATCAATGGTTGTATCATTTAGTTTTGTCTCAAAAGCATAAACAAAGCCATTGCAACTTCTGCAGTGAAAAATCTGAAACTTAAAATCTCTGTCCTATGGTTTACATGGGAATGTTGATGCTGGACTTGCTTGACAGTGACAGCTGAACTATCAGCAGGCTGGGATCTGGTAGGAAGCTGATGATGTGGGCAGATGTAAACCTGCTGGGAAGAAACTTTGCTAATAATATATTGAAACTGTTGAGAAATTTCAGGAGATGCCTTTGGAACATCCTTCTTTCAACCAGTTCTCTGTATTTTTTGGTTTTTACATCAGGTCCCTTTATAACAAAAAGTGAATACCTGAATCTCCTTCTTTCTGGGAAATTTTTCTCTTGATTTTGCTTAAGAAAAGCACCAGCTTTCCCAGCTCAATCACAGGGCTTCAATTCATTGATCTAAACTATTACTCTGTAGTGGAAGCATCATCCTTGAAGTAATATTAAAATGTGTAAAAATTAAATCTTCCAGAGAAGCTTGCAGGTAGTGCTGTAAGCTGCACTGCATTGTATTACTGGTGATGCAGAATGTTTGGGAAGTCTGTGTGTTCCTCCTGCCTTCCTGACTCTGAGGACATTTCTCCCCTTAGGCAAATGAAGATGTCACTCAGATTGTGGAGATTTTCCCCTCTGGGCCCAGCAAGTGGAACTGGCTGACACGGCGCCTCGTGGAGTTCACCTCCTCTGGGAGTGTCCTCCTCTTTGTCACCAAGAAGGCCAATGCAGAGGAACTGGCCAATAACCTCAAGCAGGAGGATCATAACCTGGGGCTGCTTCATGGGGACATGGACCAGAGTGAGAGGAATAAAGTCATTTCAGAATTCAAGAAAAAGGGGATCCCCATCCTGGTAGCTACAGATGTGGCAGGTACGTGACCTTGTGGAAAGCAGCTCAGACCAGCTGTGGGTATCAGTAGAAAGGCAAATGTTTCAGTGGGAGGTGACCAGGTTGGCTTCTGCAGCTGCAGGACACTGTGCTCTTCAGAACCATGGAATATCCTGAGCTGGAAGGGACCACAGGGATCGTGGAGCCCAACTCCTGGCCCTGCACAGACACCCCCAAGACTCACACTATGTGCCTGTGCAGTACATGGCATTGGCAAGGGGGGGTATTTTTAGTCTCTTAATGATGCCTAGATTAGAGCCTGACATTTTTTAATACACAGAAAGAAAAGCTGTGTCTTAAGGAAGTGGTTGTTGTTCATTCATCAGCTGACATTCATTTTGCCCACGGGACCAGTGCAGGGTGGTACCCTGGTACCAGAGGAATAACTACCAGAGTTAACTGGGGATAATGACACTTCCCACCACGCTGCTCTTTCTTCCAGCTCGAGGGTTGGATATCCCTTCCATCAAGACTGTCATCAACTACGACGTGGCTCGGGACATCGACACGCACACGCACCGGATCGGCCGCACCGGCCGCGCGGGGGAGAAGGGGGTGGCCTACACCCTGCTCACCCCCAAGGACAGCAACTTCGCTGGAGACCTCGTCAGGAACCTGGAGGGTGCCAACCAGCACGTCTCCAAAGAGCTGCTGGATTTGGCAATGCAGGTGTGAAGCAGCAGAACTTGAGATGAGGAAGTTTCAGTCCAGATTCAGCACAAAATCAGCCAGCTCACATGGCTGGCTCCATCATGTGTTAGCAGTGATCTTTTGGGGATCTGTCCCGGTTTAAAGTTGGTTTCTTAGTGCTTTTAATGGCCTTTGAAAGAATCCATGAAGATTTTGGAACACACTATGGGATCTATTTTGGGGCCAGGCACTGCCTAGGAAATTAGGAGCTGTAATCTGCTGATGCCAGCAGAGCATTCCAGTGTCTCATTACAGTCAGATTTATAGCAGGCACCTGGGACATGCAGCTTAGTTGAAAGCTAAACTAGAAAACAATTACAGGGACATTCCCTCTGTGAAAGGGTTGTTGCTTGATCATTCCACCTGCTTGGCAGTGCTGTCTGCCAGGTTTGCTATATACAGATATGACAGGTAGGTGCAGCAATTGTGCTTATGCCACTGAACTTATCAACTCTAATTTCTTGTCTTTTGCTGTCTGTATAGCAGCAAGAGAGCCCAGGCTTTTTGGCAACTCCCAGATTCAGAGATGGATTAGCAGGCCTGTGGGTACATTAGCAAGCAGCTTGGACAGCAGCTGCTTTTTCTGACATAGGCAGCATTTTCAGAAGGGACAGAATTTGTGAGGCAGAGCTCCCCTGACTGCCTTGAGAGGAGCATGCAGAAGCCAACTGATTTATTCACATTTGGAGAGACTGTAGGGCATAAAAAGTGATTCAGCCAACTATTATTTAAACACCTGGAAACAGCAGGTCTGTTAGGGCTGACATTCCCTGGCCACTGCTTGGTACAGAAAGTTTTGCTGACAGACTCATTTCTCCTTAGCAAAGCACTAGGCTAAATCAGTGAAACCAAAGTATGAGCAAGAGCAGAGCTCCCAAGTGATGGCATTGGAAATTGTGTTTATTCCTGGGTTTATTAGAATGCAAACCCCCAAAACCTTAACCTGAATGAGAGTTGAAGGTGTAAAATCCATTTTCTTAGAAAGCATTTGTAAGCCAAAGCATCAGATCCACATGACACAACTGCCTACAGCAGCTGTGTGGTTGAATGGAAAACAGCATTTGTCTTTTGAAATGCTCAGTGTATCCCTTTTTTCTCAGCCTCATTACATGCATTTATGAAGCTTTTTATTCCCTGTGTTGAGAAACATTTGTCCTTCTGTTACAGAATCCGTGGTTCCGGAAATCCCGTTTTAAAGGAGGGAAGGGCAAGAAGCTGAACATTGGTGGTGGTGGCTTGGGATACCGTGAGCGCCCCGGGCTGGGCTCAGAAAATACTGTAAGTAGAGATGCTGAGGAGGTTGTTCACAGATTCTTGAACTTTTTCACTTAGTATCAATTACTATTTAACTAAAAAAAAAAAGGAGCAAACTGTTCCGCTGCTCGGGGGTCTCCAGAAGTCTGTCTTAGTGGATGCAATTCCTGAGTGCAGGGACAGGATGGATGTGGGCAGTGGTGGAACTGAGTTGTCTGTGTGGCACAAACCTCTGCAGTTGCCCTTGGTGTTTTTGCACAGGACCGTGGAAACAACAACAGTGTGATGAGCAACTACGAGGCCTACAAGCCATCCACAGGGGCCATGGGGGACAGGCTGACAGCAATGAAAGCAGCTTTCCAGGTGGGTTCCATGCTTGGACTCCTTTTCTCCCCTGAAAATGCAGCAGCCCTCTTATTTCAGGTTGTGGCTGTGTCACTTGGAGCACACTCAGCATTACAGTCCCAAGTGGTGGAATTAGGTGCAGACTGAACTGAACACGTTTGCACAAATTTGCCAAAATTACTTTGTTTTCTGCTGCCTCTTTGCTCTTTTTTCTTTCTGGATTCTGCACCTGGGCTTGATTCCGTTGAGGTTGCTTAGCAGCAGTGGTGCAATTGCAATCGAAAGGGGAACCAGCTCTTTCTCTTCAGTGTAAAAATTAACCCCACAGTGTAAGAATTCCCTTGCCGGTGTTGTCTGGTAGGAGGTGCCCGTTACTAACAGGAATGTCATCACTCCAGGGCTGACTGTTCCTAGGAGCTCTGCTTCCCCACAGTCCAAGGCAGGCTCCATGGCTCCGTGTTCTGTGGGGCAGCACAGAGCCAAACCCGCTCTCTTTTGTCTCTCCTTTCCCGCAGTCCCAGTACAAGAGTCACTTTGTTGCTGCAAGTTTAAATAACCAAAAGACTGGGAGCTCTGCTGCTGGTGCCAGTGGCTGGACCAGCGCCGGGAGCCTGAACTCGGTCCCGACGAGTTCGGCGCAGCAGAACGTGGCCGGTGCCGAGAGCCCCGCGGCGGCCAAGGGAGCCCCGGGCTTCAGCAGCGGTGGCCAAGGGAGCAGCGGCAGCGGCGCCGCCTTCCCCAGCGCCGCGGCCCAGGGCTGCCCCGGCACCAACACCGGCACCAACACCGGCACCGGCGGCGTGGGCGGCGCCGCCAGAGAGCGGAACAGCCGGCACAGCGAGACCCCGCGGCGTGGGGAGGGCGGGGGCCAGCGCTACGGCAACGATGGCCAACGCTATGGCAACGATGGGCAACGTTACGGCAACGATGGGCAACGCTACGGCAACGACGGCCAGCGTTACAACAGTGATGGCCAACGCTATGGCAATGATGGCCAGCGTTATAACAATGATGGCCAACGCTACAGCAATGATGGCCAACGCTATGGCAATGATGGCCAGCGTTACAGCAACGATGGGCAACGTTATGGCAACGATGGCCAGCGTTATGGCAACGATGGGCAACGTTACGGCAATGATGGCCAACGCTATGGCAACGATGGCCAACGTTATAACAATGATGGCCAACGCTACGGCAATGATGGCCAACGTTATAACAATGATGGCCAACGTTATAACAGTGATGGCCAGCGCTATGGCAATGATGGCCAGCGCTACGGCAATGATAGCCAACGTTACAACAACGACGGCCAGCGTTACAATGATGGCCAGCGTTACAGCAATGATGGCCAGCGCTACAACAGCGATGGCCAGCGGCACGGCGAAGGCGCTGGCCGGCACGGTGACCCCTCCCGGCACGGGGACGGCCGCCACGGTGACCTCCATCGCCACGGCGAGGGCCGGCACTTCACCGAGCTGCCGGGCAGCGCCAGCCGCAACAACGGTGACAGCAGGAACAGCGAGGGCAGGAATGGAGAGAACAGGAAGGAGGCCAACAGCCGAGACAACAAGACAGATGGCTTTGCTGTCCCAGAGCCCCCAAAACGCAAGAAAAGCCGGTGGGACAGTTAAAAGCCGGGGGTTCACAGCCTGGAATCTCTGCAGGTAGTGCTGTCTTTTTCCAGAGGATTTCTTGGGGTTTTTGGTAGCTGGTTGTTGAGCAGCTGGGGCAGGAGAAGGAAACCGTGAGAACCTCCAGGCAAGTTCATCTGCGGACAGATTCACCCAAAGGAAATGTACACAACACTTAGTGAAAGAAATAATTTTGATAAAGCTCCCTGGTTTCTGCTTTGAAACATTCAGTGCTCAAGTGACTCTGCTGGATTTAAACAGATCTTCTTGACAAAAAGAAGCTGTTCCACATCCTTCAAACGTTAAGGAACTGTTGTCCATAGAAGTGTAAGTTAGTCTTTTCTTAACCAGCGTTCACATTTACAAACCAGTCCAGTCCACCTAGAGATGCTCAGGACCTGCCTGTTAGACATTAATCTTGCAGCAGTTCGGTCAGTACGGTGAGTTCTTCCCCCATCTCCTTTTCACATATTCTCCCCAAATAATTTGGCCTCTCTTCCCATCAGTTTAGAATGTATCAATTTGCTTTGCTGAAGGTGGGGCGGAGCAAGTTGGTTTTTGGTTGGTTTTTTTCTTGGTGTGTGTGTGTGGAGCTGTTCAAGGGATCCTTCTCCATCCCAGCAAACCACAAATTCACTTGTAGTGTAGGTTGGACTCCCTGGCTTGTTTTGTGGTCAGTACTTTAATTCCAATCCCATTGCCCAGATTTTTTCTTTTCTTTCGAAGAACCTCCTGTTTTCTAATATCTCTCATTCTGGTGGAAGCCTGCATAGCAAACCTGTGTCTCTGCTGTGCCTATGCACCCTCTGTTCTGAGAGGGTTGAGTACTTTCTTCAAATTAAAACAAAAAAGGGAAAACAATGTAGATACACCACAACAATCAGAGGCTGGACCCCCCCCAGGAAGTGTGGCTAAAGGAAGAAGATTCAGAAATTCAGGGATCTCTTGCTCAGAAGCCTTTAGGGAGAACTCAGAAAACAATTAATGAAAAGAAACAGCTCAAATCTGGCCCTGTTTTGGACACATGTAGTAAATCTGTAAAATCTTGCTTGCCCGTTTTTAACTCGTTGCGTGTATTCCCATTTTTTAACTTTTACTTTTTGCCACAAGATAGGGAAGAACTTTTCAGTTGGGACAGGTCAGCACCCACCGCTGGCTCGTTTCCACTGGAAGATGTACCAGAAGCTGTCAGGGTTTTGTGACATTGTGATGTTTTCTTTATCAGCTGTGCATTTACTTTCTGCTTGCTCTAGTAAATGTTTTATTACTGGTACAAAAATACGCAGCATGTGCTTTTATTCTCCACTTCCTTTGGCAGCCCTGATGTGCAAATGGAGAACTGACTGTCTGGAGATCGACTGTGTCTCTCTCACCAGAAGTTGTGGATTGTAGCTGATAAAATAATTCCCGTGGTTTTTCATAATATCTTTCACCCCAAAATGTTTCACAAACCCTGTTTTAGCTTCAAGACCTCCTGGGGAATAGATTTTCCTCTGCTTTATAAGAGGAAAGGATACAGCCCAGGACATGGGACTCGACTCATCCCAGCTTTCTGCGGGGTCATGGGCAGACCTGGAAAGAGAACTCAGCAACAGTCCCAAGATCTGACTGACACCTGAACTGGCTACAGTTCAAACACCAAGTGATTATTTGGGTCCCCTCAGAAACCAGCTCTAATCTGCTGGAGTTCTTTAATAATTTCCAGAATTCCCTCCCCACAGTCTGGGCAGGAATCATTGCCCTGGTTTGAGCTCTGCACATTCAGTGTGAAGACAAAGGTGTTTCAGGGCAGGCTGGCAGGGCTTTACAAGCTGTTGTGTTCCCCTTCTCACCCTGAAGGTTCATCACTGCAATTAAAGATTGGAGTTTCAAAACAGAATGTGCAAATAGCCCCACAGTCAGCTCATGTGCTCCCTCCCTTCCTGGATCCCAGCTCGCTGTCACTGGGACCCAGCCCCGTGTGAGGCGAATGCTGGGGGCTCTCCCCATCTTGTTAACACTTCCCTCTGCTCCTTGTAGGATTACTGAAATTCCTCACCCCTCTCCCACCTACCAGGAGCCTCTCGGGACGAGAGTGATTAAATATTGATCAGTGCCAGGGAGGCACAAATGTCAGCTTGCAGGGCTGTGCGAGGTCCGTGGGAACAAGGGAGCAGTGTGAGCAGCATTCCAGCTGCCCTCACAGGGGATCTGTCCCTGCAGGGGCAGCTGTGCTGGTCTCTCCCAAAGAGACAAAATCCCTCCAAGAGATGATTTTAAAAACTGTGAATCCTGGAGCCCTTCCCTGACTTGGCTTCTGGCTGGCTGTCCCTGCAGTTCCCTGTGCTCACTTTGCACCACAGCTTTTCACTGGAAGGTGCAGGAATGCACACAATTCTTTACCTGGTCCCTGTCACTGTCTTCAGCAAGAAATTGCTGCCTTGAACTGTGTAGGAAGAAGATACTCCAGGCTACCACCACCATGCTGTTTAATTTATCTGCCTTTACCCAGCTCCTCGGGAATGCCTTTTCCCTCAGGTGAGGAGCTTTCCCAGGCACTGCAGGTGCAGGGCAGGGGGTGCTGGGGCTCCTGTCCGTGGCAGGGGGCAGAGGGGGAGCAGGAACAGGGAACAGGGCCAGGGTTCCAGCCTCTCCCCCCTGCTGCTCTCCAGCCACTCTCTGCTGGGTCCCTGATGGATCACAAAGATGGGAACAAGCCAGAGACTCTTTATTCACTTCTCAGCCTGCAATAGGATGGCAGGGCCACGACTGTTGCATGCAGGGGCCTTTGTGTTAATGGATGAAGTGTTGGGGATCCAGGTATTCCCTGCACCTTTCCAGGCCATGAAGTTTGTCCTGCCTCCATCCCACCCTGTCCCAGTTGGTGGTTGTGTGTTGGTGTTCACTCCATCCCCGAGCTGCAGAGGATGAGGGAGGGCAGGGGAGCTGCAGAGCTGCTCCAGGGGCACTCTGCTCACTCAGGCTGGACAAGGCTGGAGCTGGTGCTGGGTAGGGGAGTCCGAGGCAGGGTCGGGCTCTGGGATGTGCTTTAACCGCCCTGGAAAAGTCACCTCCCACTCGTGGGGGTAGGAGTGAGCACGGAGGTGTTTCCTGGTGAAGACTCAAGGCTTTGCAAGCACAGAGATCACATCAGTCCCTTGCAGGTAGAGATTTTATGGTTTTATGCCTTGTTTTTTCGGGCCGGGTGGAGGAGGAGTGAGAGTCCCTGGCTCTGACAAAGGGGGCTGGGTTGTTCCGGCTGCTGTCCCAGCCCTGGCTCTCCGTGCCAGTGTGAGCAGAGCCCGAAGTGTGAGGATCAGCATCTTTCCAGACGCATCTGCGTGCCCAGGTGAGAAATCCAGCCTCTGCCTCACAGCATGGTCTCCAGCTCCTTGTTGGGCTCGGGGTGACACTGAGTCAGGTCTGTCAAATCCACCGTGGTTTCGCCCCGGGGTTTGTGGCTCAGTTCTTGGCCGTGTCCGGGCAGGAGCTGGTCCGAGGCGGGGCCGTGTCCGAGCAGCCCCCGGGTGCCCCCTGCTCCCCGCCCCGCCAGGCTCGTGCTGCAGCTTTGGGGGGCCCGGGAGCCCCGCCCGGAGCAGCAGCAGCTCCCAGGCCGCGCCTGCTGCCCCAAGTCCAGCGCCAGGAGCCTCCGGAAATGAGCCTTCTTGATCTCGGCCTGCACCTGGCGGCAGAGGGGACTGCTGTGCCCAGAGACAGCAGAACAGCCTTGCCTTGCCCTTTTCCCTTACCTCCCTTTCCCTCTTTCCCTTTTTTCCCTCCCAGTCCTATTGAGAGGGATGGATCCGAGCTTTTTCTCTGGTTATCACAGCCCGGGGCTGCAAGTTTGCCTTCCCTGACTCTAAAGGGGCTGGAACAGCGAGCTTAGCTCCTCACTCTTCCCACTTACCTCCCCATTGCAAAAGCAGTAGATAAAAGCCACAAAGAAACCCTGCCAAGAGACCAAAAGAGGTGGAGTTTGAGGTCCCTGAGCCTCCCTGGATGAACATCCCTCAATGCTGGGAGCAGTCCTGTCACATACCTGGGAGGAGTTAAAGAGCATCTCATAGTGCATCTGGATCTGCCACAGGAGCCCGGAGACCTCGGTGTAGGGCATGGCCATGAACACCACGTAGTGGACTCCGAAGAGTGGCATCAGCACCAGCGTGGACTTGAGCAGCTTCCTGAGAGGAGAGACCTTGGAGCTGCTACCCCGGGCCTGCAGGGCCCCCACAGTGCCCGGGCTGGAGGTGGGAGCAGGAAGAGCCAGAAGAGCTGGCTGCCACTGTCCTGCCACCCTTCCTCCCTCCTCCAGCCCTTCCCACACCTCTGCTCCTCCTTCACAGCCTCTGGGAGCCGTCCTGGCTGAACAGGCTGGACATGAGGCTCTGGTGCTGCCAGCACTTGCCTGTACTGCTGCCGGGGGTCCAGCTTGCCCGTGGTGGTCTCCCAGAGCTTGGAGGCCAACACCCGCACGATGTTGAGGAACAGGAAGAAGTTCACCTGCCAAGAGACACCAGTGGTGCCCTCTGTGCCCTCGGGGACACAGGCAGGCAGCTCAGGGTGAGGTGCAGGCAGGGGCAGGGCAGTGGCTGTGGGAGATGCAGAGCAGGAGGGACCAGAACCCCTGGATCCCTCTGAGCTCTCCCTGGCTGCCAGAGTGGCTGGGACAAAACTCCAGTGACCACAAGCAAACAGCTCTGGTCTCCATAAATCCTCTTTCCCTAAAAGGAATTGGGAGGTTTAGCCACAGAATTCTTACCACGACAGCAGTCAGGATGGGGACCTGATAAATCCACTTCATGTTCCCCGCACTGAGGTCCCAGCACCTGAGAATCCCAGCAAAGAAACTCCTTGGAGAAACCTGACCCCACTGGGAAGGATGGCTCCCTGTACCCCCAGCCACCCAGCACCCCCATCTCCCACTCTCCACCCCCTTGGTGGGCTTTGTGTAAATCCTGAACTGTAGCTACAAGCATTTGTAACCATCATAGTGGAGCAAAGCAGGTTTAAATGAGCATTAATGTTCCTGAGGGCTCCTTGGCCACCTCCTGCTGTTCATATGGTGACCTTTCTCCTTTTAAAATGCCTCACTCCAGAATGTGCCCTTTAGGATCCATCTCTGTGCTGTTTATTGATCAAGTTATACTGCAAACCTGCACCCACTGTCCTCCCAAATGCAGAACAAAACCACTATTGCTCTGCATTACTGTCAATTCTGTGAACAAGCCTTGAATATGTGTTCTCTCCTGTCGCTCTTTCTGGAAAATTTTCATTTCCAAAAAGCTCTGGTGCCCACAGATACTTTGCTGGCCTTTCCCCTCCCAAAGGCCCTGGCACAGGGGGGTGCACATACTGTGTATCTGCCAGCGAGGCCCTGACGCTGGCCCAGATGGACACGAACACAGCAGGGAGACCTGGAAGGGCAGGGACAGAGTGAGGAGCAGGGTTGGAGCATCACCTTTACACATCAAAACAGTTCCTGAATCCCCCTGCCCTTCCCTGGGCACTGGTCATGGCCAAAGCCACAACTGGGGCCTGTGCTCACCCCAGCCAATGATGATGAGGACCCACAGGTAGTTCTTGTTGGAGAGGAAGGCCATGAAGATCAGGCTGTGCAGGTAGAGACCTTCCACCAGGATCCAGTAGTGGTTGGTGGCCAGAAAATAGAGGAAGAGAGTCACCACCACCTTGCAGCCAACCTGTGGGCACAGGGAGATGCCCATGTCAGGCTGGTCCCCAAAAGCAAAACCTGGTGGCTTTTGCTTTCTGGTCACCAAAACCCAGCTGTGCCCCATGTTCTTCTTGCAGAGACCTGCACCTCCCCTGGGATGCTCCAGCATCTTCCTTCCCATAGGACAGCTATTCCCTGTACACAGGCCAAGGTACTCCGTGCCTCTGGTCTCTAGTGTGGCACCAGGACAGAGAGGAGCTGGGCAGAGCCAAAGGTGACCCTTCATCCCCTCCCCCAGCCCCGGACTGGGAGGATCCCAGGCCCATCCCATTGCATCAGAGCTCCTGAATCCCCCTTTCCCCCCATCCAGCACTTGCCAGGTGGCCCCGTTGTCCTGGCAGGGGACCCCTGAAATCGTCCTCCCGCATCCTGTGGGCGTCGCTGGGCGCCGTGCCCGAGTACAGCACCAAGTCCTTGATGAAGATGCTGAGGGCCCGGCAGATGAAGGAGGTGAAGAGATGCACGTGGATGTAATTCCGTGTGCAGTGCAGGCGCCTGCAGACAAGGGTGTGGCACAAAGCAAAGCCCAGCTGCCCCCATCAAACCTACTCAGCACACTCGGCTTCAGGGAGTGGGGGGCTCAGAGTGGGCTCTGGGGAGTCTGGGCACAGAAACCAGGTCTGGGAGCAAGTGGGGTGTCCCCAGTGCCCAAGAGCAGGGTGGAGCAGATCAGGAGCTGGTCACACTGGGGTGTTTGGGGCTTTGGGAAGTTGGCTGATGTTTGTGTTGGGTCTGGGGTCGTTCCCATTCCTTTGGGGGCTGCCCCCTCCCTGGGCTCGTGTGTGTGGACCATGGGGTGAGGAGGATTCTCCCACACAGGAGGGGCTTTGGGCTCTCCTTACTTGAAGTAGGAGAGGATGCAGACGGCGACGATGAGGGAGGCCAGGGAGATGGAGTAGCCCACGGTGTACATGAGGTGCAGGCGGTCAAACACCTCCTGCAAGAGAAGGACTGAGCTCCACCTCCCTGCCAGAGCACGGGGGGAGCAGGGCTGGTTTGAGGAGCGGAGAGGGAAGAGCTCCCTGCCCCCAGCACTTCCCCTGGCCTTCTCTTCATCCTCCCTGGCCCCCGCCCACAGCCCTTTCCCAGCACCTCTGACAAACAAGGGGTTTGTACCTTCTGGCGGCTCCGGCTCTCGGAGGAGAAGAGCAGGGCACACTCTGTGTAGTTGGCCCAGGTCTTGTTGATGCTGAGAGCCATGGCCCAGGTGCCATAGGCACTGCAGTACCTGTAGGCGTGACCTGGGAACAGAACAAGCACCATGGCAGCAGAAGGAGCCACGGGAAGCCCGGACTTGTCCCTGCCCCGTGGATTGTCCCCAGGATGAGGCTGCTCTCTGCCAGGTACAAGACTTGCCTTTGTGGTTGAAGTCGTAGATGTAGTCGGGGCAAGGCACTGACACCTCCTGGCTGGGGGAGCCCCTTGGCCAGCAGATGATCCCATCCCACTCTGGAGGGCAGCTGGGGTCTGGCCAAAGAGCAAAGACACATCTCACACCTCACATCTCCAGTCAGGTGTGTACTGGACCAGGGGGAGGAAAATGCTGCCACAGATCCCCCTGGGCTGCAGAGAGGGAGAAGCTGCAAGGGGCCAGGGAAGGGGACACATCCCACCTCTTCCAGATGGGGCAAGGCCCCATCCACAGCTCTTGTTTGGGGTGTACATGGAGCTGTCTGGAAAATGCTGGAGCCAGTGCTGGCTGCACCCAGAGCACGGGTGGTGCCCTGAGCTCCACAAACCCCCAGGAGCCAGGTGTCCTCAGCCCCATCCAGCCCCAACTGAGAGCACAGCATTCCCCACGGTGTAACAGCTCCAGCAGGGCTGGCTAACCTGAGCACAGGGGAGGGACAGTACCTTTGATCTTCTCCAGCTGGGCCTTTATGTCCCTCTGACACTTTTCCTTAGCCTCTACTAGGAGATAGATCTGCTCTTCTTTCGTGAGAACATCATCAGGATCGACCTGCCCAGACAAAAGCCAAGTGACAACCCCTTGGCTCAAGTCATGGCGTGGCTGTGCTCCCCCAACCCTCTCCAAGACAGTCAGGTTTGGGTGGCTTTGGGTACTTTCAACAACATGGGGAACAAAAAAGCTCTTCCTGCCTTCCTGCTCTCATTTTTCCGTCTTCCAGTGCTGATGCTGACTCCAAGCCCCTTCCCTCTCCATGGTCATTTCTGCTCATGGTTTTGTGCAGAAATCAGAGGCCTGTCAGGCTCCTGCCCCAGCTCCCTGTCAGCCATGCTGAGCTCTCCAGGCCAGCTCAGGCAAGCCCTGGGTAAAGTGCCCAACCAGGGCTCAGGGAAGCAGCCAGTGCCCAGTGCCCAGAGCAGACAGCACAACCCATGGCACCTTCATGTGCAAATGTCTTTTGGGGTGTTTTAGGCTGAGATGCTTGAAGGGGTTTAGAGCCAGGATGAGGGCACAGCTTTGGAAGTGAAAAGGAGCTGGGATGCAGAGGGGTCACTCTCCCCAGACTGCCCCCAGTGAACACAGGCAAACCCGGCCCCAAAGAGGAGACCCAGGACTCCCGTCCACGCTCTTCCCCAAACCAGCATCTGGCTGGGTGAATGGAGGGCTGCTCAGGGGTGTGGGGCAGGGTGCTGGGGGTGCTTCAGCAGGATGGGGGCCTGGCTGTGGGAGTCTCACTGGCTGTGCCCAGCTCGGCCCCCACCACATCCTTCCAGTCGTCCTGCACTGCTGGTAAACCTGCTCTGCTCCCCCGACACTGCGGGCACTGAACCCTGCCCTGCTTGTGTCCAAGAAATGGAAAAGCCATCACGCTGCAGTGCCCCCATGGCTGCTGCAAAGCTTTTAGCAGGAGTGGAGACGCTTTCCCCTCCTGCCCAGCAGCTCTGCAGAGCAGGGGCACAGCCAGCCCCACCCGGGCCAGTGGCACACACAACATTTAAAGCCAGGAGAGGGACCGGAGGAGCCGCGGGGCCACGAGGACTTACCAGAGCCCCGGCCGAGCTCAGGAGGCAGCAGCAGAGGAGAGTCACCATGATACCTCCCACAGGGCCAGATGCCTCCATGGTGTCACCGTGTCACTCGGACGAGGATTTCAGGGACCAGAATCGCTGCCAGGGATGGAGAGGGCTGGTGTGTTCAGCAGGACAGAGCATCTTCTGGGAGCACCTTCCTGGCTGCCAGCCCCGCTGAGGTGAGCTGGCAGTGGGGGCACAGCCCGTCCCTGGGAGATCAGGGCTGGGGGAGTCCCCTGTCCCTGTGGGATCCCTACAGGGATCTGCTCACAGGCTGTCCGGGCAGGGGGGTTTCTCCCCCCACCATGCTTGATCCTATTCTCTCTTTGGTCTTGCCTGCTTTAAGCAGCTCCGGGAGCGTGTGCAAACAATTCTCCTTCGGATGGGGATGGCAGAGGTTTATTGGCTTAGCCCAAGGTGCTAAAATCCTCTTCATTCAAGGCAGATTCCTCTTCTCTTTTCAGAAACTTCTCTTACTGCCCGGTGGCTCATTTTTCAGCTGTCATAGCATTCCCCCACTGCCCCCATGCTCCTGAGTCCCTTCTAGCCCCAGACTGGTGCCAAGGAGCTGGAGGAAGGTGGGGAAAATCCTTGAGGTGGCTGGAGGCAGGCAGGCAGAGGGTGCAAGCACGTGAGCAGCACCTCGAGCTGAGGCTCCTGCGATGGGATGTCTTTCAGGCAGACGCCAGTTTAACCCTTCTCCTTCTCCGGGGCTGGGATGAGTTTTGGGGAGATGTGCTGGGATCTGTCCTGCTCCCCCAGGCTCCTGCAGTGACCTCAGGGCACGTCTGCATTCAGTGTCCTCTGGAGAGGGGCTAGAGGCTCCACCCTGGGGCAGGGGGCTGGAGGGGGCAGCCGCTCAGATGGGGTCCCACACCGTCACTGGACATCAGGTCAGAGCTGGTCCCACTGCAGCTGTCGCCAGCCCTTGTCACCTGCATCCCCCTGGCACGGCCCCAGGGCTGTCCCCTGCCTTTCAGGGTCATGCTGATGCCCAGCCTGCTCCCAGCACCAGCCAGTTCCAGCACTTGGGACCCCCAGCAGCCCAAGCATCCCCCTGGGGGAATGGGGCACAAAGAGGGGAGCCCTCTTTCCCCTGGCAGGTTGTCATTAGTGGGATGAGGCTGGAATTCAACAGCCCAGTGCCAAATCCCTGGAACAGCAGCTCCCAGCCTGGGCCCCTCCCTTGGCCCATATGATCCATGTCCAGACACAGCTCTTGCTGCCTCCGAAAGTGCCCCAGTCCTGCACAGAGCAGCAGAGGCCCCAGAGCCTTCCCTGGGTTTTTCCTGGCGAGGCAGCTCGTTCTGGCCGCAGCCAGGAGCCCCCGTGACTGCGTGACGAGGGTCAGGGTCCCGCTGGGCTCCTGCAGTGAGGGATGGCCAAGGGAGCACCACAAACCCCAAGGACAGGGCTCAGGAGCTGCTGCTCCTGCTGATGGAATCAGACAGCAGAACAAGCCCCACGGTGGCCATCAGCTGAACATCAAGGAGGGACTGGGGACATTGCAGCTGCCTGTCCCCACGCCGGGGCCATGGCGTGGGTGTGACACCAGCTCTGCCAGCGGCTCCTCGGGATGCTGCACGGCCACGGAGGGTGAGCGAGGGATAAACAGTCAAACTGCACCATCAATGCTTCCTGAAGGCTCTGCTGGGTCTGGTTTCTGACCCAGAAGCTGCTGTGGAGTGAAGATGGAGTTAAGGTGAGGTTATTTTGGAGTCAGATGGATGCTGAGGGGGAGGCAGCTCAGGGGCAATTTGACTCCCTTGATTTCCCAGCCGAAACCTGACCCAGGCTCTGAGTTCACACTTAGCAAAACATGTTGAGTTTTTTTGCTAAATGACTTGTTATATTCTAGAGAGCTTTGGAAAGCAATGATTGCAAATAACACCCATCCAGCCCCCTCTGCTCCCCAGTCCCTGCTGGCAATGAGGAGATGATGGCACACAGAGAATTCCCAGCAGTTTGTGGCTGCTCCCCGCTCCTGAATGACCCCTGTAACTCCTCCTTTGCCCCGGTGCCCCACACATCTTGTTTAAGTTGATGGTTTAGAATGTCTCAGTAAAATCCTCAAGCCCCATTTTCTGGGATGCTGAACTTCAATGAGTTCTGTGCCTTTGTGAGTCTTCAAAGAGTTGGGAGAAGAGAGTGAGAGCAGGAGCATCTCCCACCAGAGCCTGCCCAGCACCTGGAGAGGAGCCAGAAGGAGACCCCATCTGCCCTGCAGGTTTTGGAGGTGCTTGGGATGGGTGGTGCAAAGCTGGGAAAGATTTGCAATAATGAATTCAATGGTGGCTTTGGCCATCATTTCCATTTCCTCATTAGCCACCCTGAGGGAGGTGAGCACCTGCACTGGTCCTTTCCAGGGCACCAGTTCAGCCCTGGGGAGAGACTGGGACAAAGCAGACCCTGAGCATGAGGCCAAGGGAGTGTTCAGAGAGTTCTGAGCCCCTTTGAAGCAGCACTTCATAAAGCCTGGTCTAAAAAGGGCTCTGCAGTGCAGCCTGCAGCCAGGCGTTTTGCCGTGGGTATCACGGCAGGTTTATCACCCATCCTGTTGCTATTTTCTTGCCTGGCCCCCGTGGCCATTCGCGTTTAGGTTTCAGTGATCATTTAGCAAGCAGCCCCCATGCAGCCCACCCGGTGCAGGTGCTGGAGGGGGACATGTCCCCCCTTTTGCAGCTGGGGGGGGGCGGCTGGTGGCTCCGTGGAGCCAGGAGCCGATGACAATGGGCAATTGTCAAATTGGGGCCCCTCTCGTTTGAGTTTTCTTCCTTTTATAGTAAGTAGCAGTTGCTCCAGCAGCTGGCCTGCCCCTCCAGGGTGAGCTCTGGGCTCCGTATATAAGGGAAGGAGCAGCCTTTGCTTTTCATCCCCCCGATCGCTTCCCCGGCTGGGCGCAGGACTCATCCCGCACCTCCGCAAAGCCCAGCGCGATGCCGCTCAGGAAACCCGAGCCGAAGAAGGAAGCAGCCAAAGCAGCCGCAGGCTCGGAGCCTGCCTTCGATCCCAAGAGCGTGAAGGTGAGTGAGGAATGAAGGCGTCACCGCGTTCTCGTGCCTGACATCTGCCAGCCACAGGCGGTGCAGAGCGCTCTGCAAATGGCATTAGCCAGGCTGGAAGGCAGCCTTGAGAGGGGAAAATTATCTGCCTGTGTGGATGCAGCAGGCTGGGAGTGATGCTGTCCTCGCTGGGGAGATGTCTCAGTCTTCCCTGCCCAGCACTCACTGGAGGGAACCAGCACCAGCTCCCGGAGCTGCGGCTGCAGAGTCCAGCCCCAGCTCCTGCTGAGACCCCGTGTCGGGGCCCCCGCAGCAATAAAAGCTTCTCTGCCACCCACTGTCTCCATCCTGAAGTATTTTGTTGCCTGCGTTGCCTCCTCCACATAAGAGCATCCTTTATCCAGCAGCTCCACAACAGGAACTCGCTTTTTCCATGATTCCTAGGGATACTCACATTTTTAAGCCAGAGCTGTGGCAGGAGAGTTATTAAGAGCAGGCTCAGCATGGAGGCTGTTTAATCACTTGAACTTGGGATCAGGCCCTAAAATAACATCCTTTCCACCCGAAATAATCCTGCCTGTGGTCTGAGCATCCCTCCTGCCTGTCCACCCCGCTGCTGCCAGCTGTGCTCCCCACAGGGATCTCAGCTCCACAGCGAGGGCAGAAGCAGTCGGGGACATGGCCCAGCCAGACTGGCACAGATATGGGACATGGCAGGGATATGGGCCCTGGCCCGAGCCTGGGCAGGGAGAGGTCCCGAGGGGAGAGTTCCTTTGCTCCCCTCAGCTGTAGCCCACATCTCATGCCTGGCTCTGCTTCCTTCTCTTTACAGATTGAATTCACGGCGGAGCAGATTGAAGGTAAGTGCTGAGTTCAGCTTCTCTCAGAGATGGCTTGAGAAATGGGGAATCCTTTTTCCAGGTAGTTTTTTACCACAGACACAAGAGCTGAGGCCCCACACATCAAATCCTCTTTTGGGGGAAAAGCCAGCAGGATCCAGAGCCTGGCAGGGAAAAGCTATTTTTCCTTCATGGTGCAAGATGCAGCCTGGGTCAAAGCCAGGGCTTCTGGTGGGAGGAACAGCCTCTGCAGACACAGACACAGACACAGCCCCAGAGAGTGGAGATCCGAGAGGAAAAAGAGATAAGTAGGGATGTCCTGCAGCAAAGCCAGCTGCTGAGGGTGCAGGGATCCAGCAGGTCACCCAGCCAGCTCTGCAGAGGTGACAAAACCTGCTCGGGCAGCCAAGCGTCCAAGGAGTCTGGCAAACCTCAGCCCGCATTGCACAAGCTCACTCGGGGCACAGCATGCACGTGTGGGTCCCTTCCTGCCTGCCAGGCACGAGGTGCTTCCCTGGAGCGGGAATGGGGCCACTCCGAGCTCTCCTTCCCCGCAGAGTTCAGAGAAGCCTTCGGGCTGTTTGACCGGACGCCTGCGGGGACGATGCAGATCAGCTACGGACAGTGCGGGGACGTGCTCCGGGCGCTCGGCCACAACCCCACCAACGCAGAGGTGCTCAAGGTGCTGGGCAAGCCCAGACCAGAAGGTGACAGCAAGCTGGGGACAGGGTGGGACAAGCAACTCCTGTGCTCCCTGACAGCAAGTGCAGGGTAACATCCCCTGTAGGAAGAACCCTGCAAGGTGAAGGAACTGGGAAGGAAATTATGCAGACAGGCTTCATTCCTGTGGAATTCCTTCACTCCCCTTCCCCATACCATGGTGGTGATATACGGGATAGGCAGTCCTCACACAGGAACGGTGGCAAGTGATGCTTAGCAGACTTTATCCTGAACTGGTGCAAACTGGTATAACCAGACCAGTCCCGGTGTGGCCACGTTACTGTGACAGACGACCCACCTAATGGTTTCATTTTGGGCTGATATCAGGGGTCTCTGTGCAGTTCCCTGATGTTAATACTTTATTCCTGATATGGATCTTCCAATCTCAAGCCTAATATAATAGTTCCATCTCCTCACGGGGCTTCTCCCCTGCATTCTGATAACTATAGATAACAGAAGATAACTAATCAGGAGGCCCTCAGAGGCTGAATTCAGCCTCATGAATTTCATCTCTGACCCCATCTCCTCCCCTTCCAGAAATGAACACAAAGATGCTGGACTTCGAGACCTTCCTCCCCATCCTGCAGCACTTCACCCGCAACAAGGAGCAGGGCACCTTCGAGGACTTTGTGGAAGGGCTGCGAGTCTTCGACAAGGAGGGCAACGGGATGGTCATGGGGGCCGAGCTGCGCCACGTGCTGGTCACACTGGGTACGGCTGGGACTGAGCTGTGCCATGGGCTGGTCACACTGGGCACGGCTGGGGCCAGGCTGTGCCATGGGCTGGTCACACTGGGCACGGCTGGGACTGAGCTGTGCCATGGGCTGGTCACACTGGGCACGGCTGGGGCCAGGCTGTGCCATGGGCTGGTCACACTGGGTACGGCTGGGGCCAGGCTGTGCCATGGTCACACTGGGCACGGCTGGGGCCAGGCTGTGCCAAGGGCTGGTCACACTGGGTACGGCTGGGGCCAGGCTGTGCCATGGGCTGGTCACACTGGGCACGGCTGGGGCCAGGCTGTGCCATGGGCTGGTCACACTGGCCATGGCTGGGGCCAGGCTGTGCCGTGTTATTGGACAACATTTGCAGTCTCTCCACCGTGTCCCACCAGCATCCCTCAGTAGTGGCACACAGCCATTCTCCTCCCTCTGGTGCCCTTGGTTATGTGGAAGAAGGACAGGAATGTCTTGGCAGGCTGAAAACCCTTCCCCTCACCTCTCCATCCTCCTGTTCCAGGAGAGAAGATGACAGAAAGCGAGGTGGAGCAGCTCATGGCAGGGCAGGAAGATGCCAATGGCTGCATCAACTATGAAGGTAGGAGCAGGAGATTCCCATCGGGGCCATGTCTTGTCTTAGGGTGCAAAATGCATCCTCTGTAAAGTCTCTGCTTGGACTTGATAATTTAATGGTCCTTTCTAACCCTAATGACTCCATGATTCTATGACATTGGTGATCACTGGAAGGGAGGTGTGGACCACCCTCCAAAGCCTTTCCAAAAAAACACTGAGGCATGTCAGCTGGGGTGGAAACAAGGTGCTTGTGCCAGTGATTTCCAGGAAAAGCAGCTGAAGACAGCATGTTTCCAAGGAGTTCAGGGCTGTTTTATCCACAGTTTTGGCACTGTTTTGTTGCAAGCTATTGAAAATAAACAAAGCCAGCATCTTTCTCAGCAGAGGCTAATTGGGAACATTTGGAGACAAGGATCACTCACTGCTCCAAGAGGGTGAAAATCTGGAATAGGAGGTGGTTAAATTCAGGAACCCCTATAATTGGAGGGCAGTAAGGAAAAGAGGGGACCCATTCACCTTGGCCTCAGAAAAATGGGGGTAACAGTACCGGCTCATCTCCAAGGGTTGGCATCACTCTGACCAGGTGGGGATGGCATGGAAAAAGTGGGAACAGAAAGAGAATATTAGTCCTGGCAGAGTATCCCCTTCATTCCTGGGGGAGTCTGGGCTGGGGGTCCCCCCTGCTGCCTGTCCACCTGCCCCTCCCCAGCTCACAGCATGTCCTGACCCCTCATGCTCTCATTTCTCCTCAGCTTTTGTCAAGCACATCATGTCTGGCTGAAATGAGAAACTTCAGGTGAGTTCAGTGGCATCTCCTGCTGCTCACTCCAAAATTGGAAATCCTGCAAGGAACAGCCAGGGGCAGAGAAGCCAAACCCCAAACCTGCAGTGGATTAATGCCACAGGAATAATCCCAGCTCTGAAGGCACAAGAGTAGTGTTGATGATAAGGAATTTTATTTGTAACTCCTGTCAATTAAAATTTATGAGGACAGCATCACCCCCATGATGGTCATTTGTGGTCTGGGTAATTGTGTGGAGTCCCTGCTTGGAAAGAAAGAGGTGGTTGATGGTGCCACGTTTTCTAACCTGCCAGAAGCTGAGGGGGTCAACAACAGCCAGTGGAAATCAATATTTTAAAATCTGCATCAGTGAATGACTCGATACTAAGAAAATATTAACTACTTAGAGAGGAAACTTCCAAACTCAGAAATCTATTTCCCATTAATGTTACAAAGAATATGGAAAATGTACCATGGATGTTTGTTAGTGTTCCTTGAGATCTGCCTGGGAAAACAGAGAAACATTGCTAAGGGGATGAAGTTTCTTGAGGGTGAATTATCCCTCAAAAATCTACACAATTGAAAAGAAAATCCAAATTGCTGCCTGGCCCCAGCTTTCCCTGCCAATTTCTTATGATTTCATTATCTATTTACTTTTTTAAACATTTCTCCTACCCCTCAGCTATGTAAAAGGCAGGAGATCGGGGGAAAAAATTAAAAATTACCTTCAGATACTGCTAAATACACAAATTAAACATTTAAAAATCTCTCCCCTCTCAAAATCTCTTTAGACATCAGAAGGTTAAAACACAGACAGAATTCTGAACTTTGAATGTTCAGCATCCTTTTTATCTTCTTTTTAATCCATTTCTCTCCAGTTGCTGATCATCAGCTCAGCATATAGATGGTTGGGTGGCAAATGCTGCCAGGAGATTTAATTCTTCACATAACTATTTGCATATAAAACTCTTTTTTAAATGGTGTTGATTTACAGCTCTTGACATTTTGGGTTCATCTGAGAAGGAATACTCTGGATACTCTCATCCCAAAGGTTCTTTGCATTCAGTCCTGTCCCACTTGTCTCCCAGGCTCTCAGCAATATTTGAACCCCCCTGAGCCCCGTGAGGAGTGAGATTCCTCCGTCCAGGTCCTTTCCCTGGGATGTTTTGCCTCAGCCCTCGTGAAGCTCTGCCCACCACGTGTGTGTGCCTAAGCCTGGTATTCAATGACATATCTGAAACTAGGTTTTAAAGTTACTCTTTTCAGGTTTTCCCCGTGACATTTCTCTCATTAAATTTCATTCCTTCCTCCCTTACATGGTTTGTCTGCTTTGGCTTGGGACTACTTATTGACACGGTGGGTGGAGGAGACCCCTCGATATTTGTGGGCCAGGTCCACCCTCAGGGTCCTGGGGCGTGGGTGGTGTCCTGCCTGGGATGGAGCCCAGCCAGGGTGGGCTCCTGGGATGGTTCTTCTCCAGGCAGATGTTGGTGTGTTCCAGCCAGGAGCTGTCTGGGGCTGTGTGACACAAGCTGGTGACTCTCTCTCCCTCTTCCTACCTGCAAAGCAATCTTCAGAGCATCACCACAAGTGGTGAATAATTCATGACACATAACTCAGCTTCTCATCAGCAGAACACCTGGGAGCAGAAAACACTTTCCTTTGATTTGTTCCTTATTCCAACGTCCTCAGTCTGCCTTTGACTAGAAATTGAAGGCATTTTGCTCGATGTGTTGACTTCAGCTGCCACTCGCTCGTTCCTGTGCAGTGACTGAGTAACAGCTGCTTTCAATTCCCACTGTTTGATTCAACTGCTCATAAAAAGCAACATAAGCTGTTTATAGATGCAAGATTAGATTTGAGCTCCTCTCTGTGCTATTCCTGCAGCTTCCATTGGGCAGGATCTGGGCACCTCGTGTTTTTAATGTTCTATCTGTGCTTTAACCTCCTGGAGGATCGTGGTGATGGGGCCAGAGGGACCCTGCTTGCTGCACACACGTTTGTCCTTGTCACTGCCATGGCACCAGCTCCTGCAGCAGAACGTGCTGTGGCAGGGAGGAATGGAGCAGAGGAGAGGTGGGGACCTGCTCAACTCACAGAGGAAATCCACAGCAGGGACTGGGAGGCCTGGAGCTGTGATATCCTTGCTAAAGCCATGATATCCCTGCTAGCCTTGACATTCCAGCTAAAGCCATGATATCCCTGCTAGCCTTGATATCCCTGCTAGCCTTGATATCTCTGCCAGCCATGATATCCCTGCTATAGCTGTGATATCCCTGCCCTGCAAGCCAAGAGGCTGCACTCTCACTCCTCTGTGCAGAGCACAGGCCCCAGCTTCCATGCTGAAAGGAGTAACACTAAATTAAAACCAAAGTGAGACCCACAAAGAGACAGAAAGCAAGCAGCGGGAAATGACAGAACTACAGGAAAACAGCTTTCCATGTCAAAAATCCAGCCCTTGGAGCCCCCCCGGGGGAAGAGCCAGCCACACTTTACTTTGTTGTGTCTCTTTAGGATAAAGCAGAGCTGGTTTGTAGCAAAGCAGGTTGGAATGGTGCACTAGAACAGGCACAGTATGTATGGCTGTACCTCTGCTTGTGCCTCCATGCCTCCTCCCCTGGCAAGGCTGCTTCCCTCCTCCTCTGGAAAAGCTGAGGATTCCACAGGGAAAGCGCCTTTAGTCCCATGGACATTTGTAAAGGCATCTGTGGGTGCCAGTGAGTGACCCCACAGGCAGAACTGCACTGTAGGACTGAGCAGTCTCTGTAAATCCAGATCTGCAAAGACAGCAGCAAACACGACCTTTTACAGTTTGGATGCTTTACATGAATTCCAGGGGACTCTGAGGAGAGGTACAAGGAGCCCCCACGCTCCGGAGAGCCTGTATCTCCTCAGGCTGTGATAAGACAGGCTCTCATACCAAAGAAGGTCTGGATGTCAGGAGCTCTGTGCCCTGGGGAATGGGAGAGACAGATGGAGCCAGCTTTCATCCCCAGGAGTTATCTGCAGTGTACGAGATCAGGAGCAGGGTGAACACGGACTGTGCTCCTTGAAAGGCTCCTTGGAGCCCCAGACCACGTACACACAGCACCATCATCACCATCACTGAGCGAGGCCAAAGGCCTTCAGGGGAGGAGACACAACACTGCTGTGTTACTCACAGCCTGTCTGGCAAAATGACTTGGATCGACCTGATCAGGAAACCAAGTGTCCATCCCAGGGGACAGCACTGCTCTGGGCCCCGTTTGCTTGTCTCAGGTGAAGGATTGAAGAAAGCTTTGCCTGCTCACACCCTGAAAGTAAACACCCGCAGATTTGCTGCCAATAACAAATTTGTAAGGACACCTTTCAGAAGTGCAGAGAAAGAGGGGAAGAAGGTAGACTGAACCCTCCTGCTCCACACACAGCTTTTATTCTCAAAGACACAGCCCATGTGTGTGTCAGCACATCAGGATGTGACCTTTGAGTGCAAGTGCAAAGCACTGAGCAGAGCAGCATGGAGCACAGAGTCCGTGTGGAGGTGTGTGTGCATCAGGGCACTGTTATGGCTGATTCAGCAAGCCCACAGAAGGATTTGGAGAAGGAAGGCCTCTGCTAGCTGCAGGTGCTATTGATAGGTCAGTATTTTTAATAAATGGACGTTTATTTGTGCATCTTTATTCTGTTCTTTTGCTAAAGCTCTGTGTGCCAGATACTGCATTTTCAAACACATCCAAGTTGTAATTGGTAAATTACCTGCCCTGTACATACACCCCAGTCTGCCAGTTTTACTCCTGGATATGAGGACATCACGAGGAATTTCTTCACAGAAATGGTTGTTAAACATTGGCAGGGGCTGCCCAGGGAGCTGGTGGAGTCCTCATCCCTGGAGATGTCCAAGGAATGACTGGACGTGGCACTCAGTGCTCTGGTCTATTGACAAGGTGGAGATCAGTCACAGGGTGGGCTCCATGATCTGGGAGCTCTTTTTCAGCCCACATGATCCTGCGATTTTGTGATATCGCGGCTGAACCTACCCGGGGAGCACCATCAGCACGGGCCCCTCAGGGGTAGGGACAGACCTGGGCAGTGCTGCCCTCGACACTGGGAAAGGGGAACCACGAGCCAAGCCCAGCGCGGGGGCCGGGCTGGCTCAGGACACGCTGGTGATGGCAGGAGGGAGCCCTCGGACCGGGATCCCCAGAGCCCGCTCTGTGGCACAAATACAAGTTCTACATTGCATGGGCGCAAAGCTCTGAGGGACGAGCCACGGGCCCTGCTGGGGGTTCACCAGCCCCCTCACGCTCGTCCATCTCCGTCTATGCTCGGACATCTCCGTCCTAGCTCGGGTGGCTTCGTTCCAGCTCGGCCATCTCCGTCCCCGATCGGCCATCTCCGCCCCAGTTCGGCCATCTCCGGCGCCGAGTAGCTTCCTCCCGGCTGCCGAGCGCAGCTTTCCCAGCTGTTTTCCGTCGACGCTCGGCTCTTTCCGCCTGCGCCTTCGGGTATTTCCGGCGGACGGTTCGGGTATTTCCGCCGCCGGTTCGGGCGGACTCGGCGCCCGCCGGCCTCGCTCGCTCCGGTAACGGTCGGTGCGGGTTCAAATGAGCCGCGGCCGGGCCGGGCCCCGCCGTGACTCGCTCTGAGCCGGGCCGGGACCGGGGTCACCCCGCTCGGGCTCGGCGACCAGGAGGCGGAGGCCGGGGAGAGCAGGATGACGGTGCTGCAGGAACCCGTCCAGGTACCGACCCCCGGGCAGCTCAGGCCCCAAAGCCCGGCCCGGCCCGGGTTAGGCCGCCCCGCCCGCTCCGGGGTCGGGGCTCCGGGCCGCTGCCGGCGGCCCCTCGGCCCGTGGGCCCGCAGGACCTCCGGCTCCTCCGCCCGCCCTCCCTCCGGAGCCGCCGGGCTTCCCCTTCCAGCCTCCCGTCCCCATCCCCGGGCCGGCCGCGCTCGCCCCTTCGCCCCCCGGGCCCCTGAGGGAGGCGTGGGTCTCTCCCGGCTCCTCAGCCCTTCCGGCTCCCAGGAAAGGTTCCCCCGGGAGACCTGTTGATACTTCGCTCACCTTTCTGCGTTTGCTGCCGTGTCGTGTTTAAATGCTCGCAGCGTGCTCGGATCCCTCCGTGCCGTGCGAGTGAAGGACGTTCCTTCTTCCCAAGGAGTTGGTTCCTTCGGTTTGATGGGAGACCTAGCAGAGAAAATAATGTCAATTTCGTTTTTCCTCCCGTGTTTCAGTCCCACTGCAGTTACTCTGATGGGTTTCTTGTTCTTGTGCTCAGCCTTCCCATCCAAAAGTCGTGATTCACAGAATTGAGCTGCTTTTCCTTCCTGCAGTTCCTGTATGCCCATTCTCTAACTATTCATAATCTTCATTAATGAATCGTTTTATTCATATTCCCATTATTTTCTAAAGTATATTTTTAGCATTTTAACAGGATGTTTTGGGCTTTTTTTTTCTAGTTACAGCAAGAGGCTCCTGGCAGCAGTGTCTTGTCAGAACACGATTGTGTTCTGTAATGAACATAGTGAGAATTCTTGCTTTTGGCTCTTTCTAATGAAAAAGTGGAAGGGGAAGAGGAAGAAAGGCTCTTGTGGGAAACCATCCTGCTGACTCGACCCCGTCTGTGGAAGATGGTGACAGTGAGGGCATTCTTGTAGTCGAGGGGTTTGTGTTCTTGGTGCCACCACTCCTCATCCCCTCTGGGAGCAAGGCTCAGGGCAGTGCTGGAAATGCTTTTGGCCACTGGATCCTCTCCTGCAGAGGCCATCCTGCACCGTTGGTGTTAGCTCTGGAGCTGGGCTGGCTGTTTTGCACCAGCTGGATATTCTAGGAAAACATGGGATTACAATAGAAAAGGAAGCAGGAATGCAGTGCAGTGTGAGTGAGTGAAGCTGACAGGAAACAATACCAAATGTTTCCGGTGCTGTGCTAACTAGACAGACCAAGTGGAAATATCTGCTCTTCTGAGAGCTCCCTGATAGAAATGTGGGGTCTTGTTGTGGGGTTTCACCAAGGTAAAGACCTCTCTAATGCTGTTCTCCCTTCTTAACCTCTTCCCAGCTTGGATATTTTGATGAGGCTTTGTTATGTTGAATATGTCTGCTTAGATTGATTTTACCTATTCAGATTCTGCTTTTAAATGATAAATCATTCTTTTAGCTGTAGTTCTGCTGCTGTCAGTTTTACTGCTGCTCATTGCTTACAGGAGTGCTGGTAAGTTTAGGAATTATTTGTGGCTGGGTAAAGTCCATTGCATTTCTGAATTACCAGTTTAGCTGAAGTCCACGTACTTAGCTCTGTTTTTATAATTTTCTGAAATGAAATGATTGGGAAAGTTGACACTAGTTCTCATTTTTGTCATTGCAGAGATTTTTCCTGCCTATTTGTCTGTTTTCTCTCAGCCTTTCAGATGTCTACAGGGCTCAGCATTCCATGGAAAAACTGTCATCCTTAGATCTTCCCAGCTGTGATGCTCCTTATTTGTCACAGCCTGACAGATAAATAACAGAATTTGTGTTTATATGTAGCCTTACAAGTGTTGTGCTTTAATTACATGAAATTGTGTCCCAGAAAGCAACCTGGCCACTGGTTAGGTTTTTGCTAACTTTCAAAATTCTTTTAAATTGAACGAAGTGTGCCAGAGTTTACAGCCCTGTGCTGTACTTCCTGATACAGTCGATTTAAAACCCTTCAGCTCCAACATAAAACTCTGTGTCCCATGTGCTGAGAAACAGGCTGGACGCCTTCCAAATACTTCTGAAAAACATCTTGGAAAGAGAATGAGCACTTTGCTTGGAATTTAGCTGTTCAAGGTGATCATCTGCTGTGACTCACTGGAATGGTGCTTGAACTTGGCTGCAGACTGCAGGACCAACGTGTGCTCCTTCAGTGGGCAGAGTTTCTGTAACTGGGAATGCAGCACAGCCCATCCTGGAGCTCTCCTCCTCCCTGCCCACCCTGGAGGCTGAAATCATGGCAGAATCTGCTTGGCATGGCAATATAGGCTAAACAGCTTGGAAAAGAATTTCCAGGGCTGTGTAACTGTCAGAAGAGAATATCTCCTAAGAGCTCTTTGGCTTAGATCTGAGGTGACACTTGGACAATGCACAGGATTTTCTGGGTAGAAGATGGACCTGTCTGAATTGGATTTTATTTTCCTGCTCTCCTTTCTGAAGATGCTTTGCTGGGGGCTGTGTATGGTAGTTTTGGAATTCCCTGTTCGTTTTGCATTTCAAATTAATTATTTTTTAGAAGAGTGATTAGGACCTGGAAGTTCATCCTCTCTGCAAGCACACTTGAATAAAATGTGGAAACACTCCCAACTTTTTTCCTTCCTGTGACACAGCCCTGAGAGGGCTGAACACTCTTCTGATGTGGTTTAGCAATTGTGCACCACTAGTGCTGTGTACATGCATTGTGCTTCTTCTAGAACAAACTAAATTACTGTGCTATATTGAGATTAATGTTTCTGTCCTAAATGGTGGGCAAGAAATCCTCTTTTTTTTTGAGGCACAGTCATGGTTTAGACATCTGTTCTCATGGAAAATTGTTGCTGCATAGGTATGGCTGATTCCCTGCTGCCTTCTCTTCTTCCTGCTCTTTTAGGGGAGTGTGTGTGAGGATCCAGACTCCAGCATGGGTCAGTTCAGGGCAGGAGGCACATTTTGGGCTGAAAATGGTAATTGCTACAGAATGAGGACTTTACCAGCCCATTTCTTGCTTTCACTGAGACTCTGCTCTACAACGATTGATATTTGAGCCAGTGTGTAGTGTAACTTCTTACAAAGTGGCTGTGACATAGCCCCAAATCCCTCGTGTCCCCTCTTAGCCTTTGGCAGGATTGTTCCTGGCACCTTGCTCTTGTTTGAGCAATCAGATTACTCTGATTTCCCACTCCTACCCCCACACCTTTGTTTTGTAAGCTGGCTGAGTTACAGCCCTGCAAAGACAGGATTTTTAACCTGCCACAACTTGGCTGGATTCATCTAAATGTCACTTGTGAAGGAAGAGCTACTTTTGGGAGCAAGAGAAATGGGAGACCTTGAGCTGCTCTGGCTTCAGGATGGCTTAAAAGATTGTAACCCTGACCTTCTGTCTCCCTGTTCATCCTGCTCTGGCTGCAGGGTGTGGAACCACCTTCAGCCTGGGAGCCTCTCAAGGCAACAGGGAGGAATCACTTCAGGAGGCTCTGAGTTATCTGAAATATGAAATACAATAAATACAGAGAGAAACAATAGTGTGTGTATTGTAATGATCAGACTAAAAGAATTCACTTTTAAATACGTCCAAATACTTTCACACAAGCTTAAAAGCACCTGTTGACTTCTGGAGTGTAATCTTGGGATCTACTGCTAGGAGAAAAGAGCCTCTCTGCAGAGATTTGTGTGTAATATTCCCTGTAGTGTGCTGTTCATGATGGCTGTGTGGGCTTCCCGTGAAGAGAACGTGCACAGTTTTCACACCCTGTGTTTGTCAAGTTTGTGTTGGAAGAAGTAGCATATGGTACATGTAACTCTGTGATGTTTGCATTTTTTTTTTTAGATCCAATTGACGCTTGCCTTTCCCACTGGGAATAGCACTGCAGGGCACTATTGCTTTCCCTGTGGAAGATTTCTTTTAGTTTTGGAGTGTCTCATAGGTTTTAGAAGCAAGTTCTATTTGTCTTTGGTTGCTGAAGAGTATTAGAGAAATTCTAGATCACGGTGCCTCGAATTCCTAAGTTCAGATCTCGTTTGGGATCAGTAACAGCAAAACTACTGCCAAGTGGCTCTTTGCTGCTGATGGAAAAGGGCTTTGGAAGTGGAGCAAAGGCCCCAGATGGAGCTGCTGTCCTGATCCCAGCCCTGCCCACCTCGGAGCACAGACTGAGCATGCACAGCACCCTTGCAGTAGGTGGGGAGGAAAGGCTGAACAGGCCTTCAATGATTTTTCAAATCCCAGCCTTCATTTACAGATAACAGACAACTTTCAATGTGATCTGAAGAAAGCTGGCTGAGCAGTTTGTGTGAAACCCTCTTATCCCAGCCCTGCAGTGGGAGTAAATGCCACCTGCTTTGCTGGTGTGCAGGTTTTACACCTGTGTGCATATTTGTTCCACTGGAGTTGTGCCATCCTACCAGTCTGCACAAACATTAGTTGTCACAAGCCCAAACTTGGGGCTCATGAAAAAGTAAACGGTACCTGGGAGCAGGATTTGGCCAAGTGTGAGCAAAACCAGAAGTAGTTTGTGTTCATCTGTGGCTGTGGAATACAACTTGTCTGTTTTATTTGTACTTGTTCTTGGGTGCTTCTTCACAGTTGGTGACAACGAAGAGGTGGCTGAAGACCCAACAAAATGCTGCCCAAAAAAGCAGTGGAGCCTGTTCACCTTGGCCCTTAAGGGAGCCCTGATGCTTCTTCAGGGAAGATCCTTTATACTAAGATGCTTAATCAATACAAGTTTCATCTTGACCATCTTGAGCACTGAGAGGTTTCTGGGCCTGTTGGGTTTTGCTTTAATGGCTTGCCCTGAACCAGCTGGGGTTGGATTTTGGTTTTATCTTTACTGAAGGTGTTGTTGTTTGTGGTAGTTTGCAGTAATTCCCACTGAGTCGTGCACCAAGATAAACCCAGTAATTTCTGAGAGGTTTGGATGATTGTGTCTGATAATGAGTGAGAAACACTCTAAGGTTGATTCACGACCTCAGTGCAGAGTTTGGGATTCTTTTTAAGCCTCTTTACTAATAACTGAAACAAATACAACCTGGCTGGCATGTTAATGCTCCCCTTTCTTTTTATGGCTCTATGAAAGCAAGCTGACCTTTGCCTTTTGGCAGTAAGAGGTGCAGAGTTTTTGCATTTCCCAGCTCCCCACTGAAAGGAGATGTTTCCTTGCCTTGCAGGCTGCTATCTGGCAAGCACTGAACCACTACGCGTACCGCGACGCCGTGTTCCTCGCAGAGAGGCTGTATGCAGAAGGTGTGTACAGTTATAAAGCTGGTTTTCTTTTTTTCAATTTTAATTTGGGGTTTGTGAGCCTCTGCTCCTGCTTTGTTGTCCTCCTGGTCTGATGATGAAGTTTAGCTTTCTGCTTGGGGAAAGCAGAGGAATGCCTTGCAATTAGGTTGGAAAATCAAATCATGTACCACCAGCAATGTTATTTTGCTGTAAGATCTCCTTAAAATTCAACTCGGATTTGTGTGTTTAAGTGCAGTGTTTTATGGTATCAAATGGGAGAATATTGGGGTTTTTTAATGACCCTCAAGCATTGCAGGTCTTCCAAGGGCACTTGAGGATAGATGCAGCACACAAATTCTACAAATTGGCTTGACATTGAAAGCTGTCTTTGCTAATAATGCTGCTCAGATATGTTGATTGGCTCAAAGAGAGTCTTGTGATGGTGAGAGAAAAGCACTGTGAAATTGAGACAGTGAGAATCAGAACATATGGAACAGGTATCCCCTGCTGAATCCCTGCTAATTGTTACTTCACTGTGAAGCTGCCAGGGCTGGGGTGTCTTGGATAGTGAGCAGGCAGCAGTAACACAAATCTATACTTTCTCTGGGTCCTTCAAACACTTTGCTGTGTTCTGGCACCTTTTATTTCTTTAACCTTTTCTCTGTGACCTCAGATAAGCTTTTTGTTCTTCTGTACTTCTTTCTCCTTGATACTGGTGGTCAGCTTTCCCTCTCTATTTTGAAAAGGTATTGTTCCCTAACCATTAACACCAGAACACCCCAATCATTAAGCTAAAATACAAGCATCATATGATTTCTTGTGCTAAACAACCTGAGCTTATAGTTTGAATTAAACTGTGTAATCTATTTCATATTCTGTTTTGTAATGAAGTATTTTACCTGCCATGCTCACAATGCAGTTCTTAACAATGGAAGCACAAACCTAAGTTTTGAGAAATAAAGGCTTCTTTTTCCTTCTGTCAGGGTTTCAAATGGAATCTGGGGTGTTTGATCTGGTGCTGAAATGACAAATGTTGTGTGGAATATTAAGGAACCTGATAATCCAGGTGTTCATGAAGAAAATAGTGTTTTAGGGATGACAGAGCTGCCCTGAACACAGCACACTGTGAGGTGCAGGGAAATGGTAGATTGAAGGTAATTGCCAAGGATTTAGGAACAAAGAGAATCCACTTTTTGCAGCAGCCAGGAGAAAAATACCTGACTTGATAGTGACACATCTTTACAGAATAATTCCCTGCAAGGGTACTTCAAACAGCCTTTTTCAGTGGCCAGCAGTGCTGGGAGAAATCAGCATGAATGCTGACACTTGGTGCAAGCAATTAACTGCTAACAAAACATCTGGCTCCTGGTTGAAATGAGTGGTTACACTGCAGAGTGGAAGCTGCAGAACTCCAATACAGTGGCTCCATGTTGGCAGGAGTGATTTCTCCCTGAGAAGAACTTCTTTTAAGTCTACCTGCAATTACTGTCCTTGATGGGACATCTGTAGCTCAGTCGTTTCCCAGAACTCTCAAAGTCTGCTAAAGTAGTGGATAAAAATTGATTTAACTTGAATTTTCAAAAAGGTCTTAGAGGGTTTTTAGGATAAGGCTAATAAAATGTCCTCTGTTTGGGTCTTTTGTTTCCATTGTCACTGTCTAGGTGATGACAAAGACTTAAAATAGTCAGTTTTAAGTGAAGCAGAGGATTTGGGCAGATTCCCAAAGAGGTTTTTATACAATGCTCATATTGATTTTTCTAAAGATTTCCCTATACGTGAGTGAACAAACATCAGAATTGTTTATTTAATGCTGAATTCCATCTGCAGGATAATGTCTTCTGAAAAGTCTAAAGGTAATGTGGGTTTATTAATCGTTTGGAGTTTGAAGTTGCTCATGTTCATACATGGCTGCTTTGCTTGGTTGCTGCTGTTCTCACTACAAGCTGGCTCATCACTTATTCAGGTTGGGTGGCCAGAAGGATCAAAGTTCCCTTGCAGCTGTAGATGTTAAGAGTTGATCTGACTAACCAAGGAAATGGCAGAGGAAGTTTGGTAATCACCAACAGATAAAGAAAACTTCATTCAGGAATGAATTTCTAATACCAGTATCCATTTTCTTCCATCTTGTCCCTAGCTGGTTTTTACTGCCTGTCCCCAATGGTTTGTACTGAAATGATGAACATCTAACTGGTGGTTTTGTTTGCAGTACACTCAGAAGAAGCACTGTTTTTACTGGCAACGTGTTACTACCGCTCAGGAAAGGCCTACAAAGCTTACAGGCTCCTCAAGGGACACAGCTGTACCACCCCACAGTGTAAATACCTGCTTGCAAAATGTTGTGTGGACCTCAGCAAGTAAGTAAATCCTTCATGTTCTGTCCAGGGTTACAAATGGATTTATTTTGTTGCTTGGATTTCTCTTTGGAAAATGTCATCTTGTTTAAACTAGAAATTCATTGGTCCTTCAGCACAACAGATTATAAGTTCGATTTATTTTGCTTTCAGACATGGACCTAATGAGCATTAACCCATGTTGCAAAAACCTCTGAAAGTTGTTGAGTAACTCAGACAGGAATTGCCAAGCTGTGCAGAGAGAAAAGAGACCTCTAATGAGCTCATTTATACAGCTCTGCATTATTTTCTTGTGGGGATGATGTGTGCTGATAGAAGCATACACCTACAAGTAGAATTCCAAGTGGTGGCAAGAAAAGGTGATTTGTTTGTTTGGGCTCAGATGTCTGAAAAATGCCTCCCACCCCTGCAGTTGTATAAAGTAATTTTTGAAGCCTGACAGCCATGGCCCATTCCGTGTGAGTGGTGCTGCTCCTGCAGGTGGAGGAGGTGCAAATTGAGCCTTTGTTGTCCTTTGAGCCCTTCTTGCAAGAAAGAAAGGCATTAAAATCCAAAATCTCTGCCCTATCTCGGTATTGGCTCTTAACTAGGGGCATGGGGGCCTTAGAGGTTGTATTTCTTTGGGAAACAAAGCCAAATTAAATAATTAATAGCTTAGATAAATCACCTTCAAAGATCAAGTGTCTTGAAGATCTTCTTGTCCTTCATGCTAGGATTGATCACTTTCGGAAAAGTCATGCAGTATTTTGTGCCTCTGCTTTTGGGTTTGTTTTGTTTTTCTTCCCTCCCAGTAGAGCTTTTTGACTGCAGAGTCCTGAACCTCCCTGTTGTAGAGGGATCCATCAGTTACTTAATGTTCATTTGCAGCAACTGGTTTGTGCTTTAAAACCTGTGAACACTGACAGTGGATTTCTGTTTTTGTTTGCAGCAGGGTGAAAACACTGGACTGCCAGTACTGTGAGCCTTGTAACCCCTTTAAACCTCTTGTTTTTTAAAAAGGCTTGCAGAAGGAGAGCAGATCTTGTCTGGTGGAGTGTTGAATAAACAGAAAAGCCATGATGACATTGTTATGGAGTTTGGTGACTCTGCATGCTTTACTCTCTCCTTACTGGGACATGTCTACTGGTAACGTTGCTTTTTCACTTTGCCCAATAAAGTTGGAAGGTTTTTACTTGACCAAGCCCAGGTTTAGTCAAACACTTCCTTAGTCATTGCAGGAGACAGCTCTCCCTGGGTTACACCATTTTGGAGCACAATAAATTCAGGTGGATAGTTGTGGAATCAGTCTGATTTGGGAATGCAAGAATGGTTTTGTTTTCACCCAAAGACTGAACACACAAATTCCTCTTTCCCAGGTGGATAAGAATGCAATCCAAGAGTCTGATTTTTTTACATACCTTTGGATTTGCTCTGTATTCTTCCCTAAGAAAAACTTGCAGCTTGTTTCTCAGTGTTACCATTCAGATTTTTACTATCTGTTTATTCATGTGTAGCTCTAACCTTCAAATCAAAGTCCTCAGGATGCCAGGCAGAATAACTTCACAAATTTAAGTGTTTTGATTTTGCTAAGATGCAAGAAAGGCTTCAGTAAATGTGAATGATTGATTGAATAGGAGTAGTTGGGGTCTTGGATTCTTCCCTACTATGATCTATTCTTAATTATTTTCAAAATTATTTCTTTTTATTTCTAGCCAAATAATTAAGTGTTCAGTTAACCCCTAATTTCTTTGCAAAAATATTATCCATAGATACTTAAGATGACTGGAAGGCTGGCAATCAGATTATTGTTGGCAAAAAAAGAAACAAGCTGTTGCAAAGAATTGCATCTTCCTAAAAACAAAAGTTCTCAAGCAATTCTAGTGCTTATGTAACTTTTTTTGACAACTAAATCTAAATATATCAACTTCAAAAGAACTCAGTATTTCTCAGGCTTGAAAAATGAGGAATGTTTCTATGCCTCTCAACATGTTTTTGTTTTTCAACTCCTCTTCTGGAAAACTCTGTTGAACAAAAGTGCTGTTCTGAAGTTTCCCTGTGAACTGTTTCATTCTTTTTGCAGCAAGACAGACCGGCTTGCCAAAGGATCAGAATGTTACCAAAAGAGCCTTAGTTTAAATCCTTTCCTCTGGTCCCCTTTTGAATCACTATGTGAAATAGGTGAGTCTGCAGAACTGTTTTACTCATGGAATTCTTTGGAGAGATTTTTGTGAGCAACAGTTGATTTAAAATACTTTGCCATTGTTTAAAACTTCTGTCTGGTTTTCTTCCATCTTCCTTATTTCTGCATTTTTGGATCTAACAATCCAAATGTGTTTTCCAGCCTACATTCAGTAGACACTTAAACTGTTTCTGAGTATAGCCTGAAAAAACAGTAAGTGAAAATTATTAAAAATATTGATTGTCCCGAGTTTTGTAGCAGAATAATGGAAGGAGCAGAGGGCTCAGAGTGACCTGCTCTAGTGAATTGCAGAGGGATGGGATGGAATGAGTTGTTCTTTAAGGTCCCTTCCAGCTCAGATGTCCTCTGAAATATTTCAAAACTCTTCTAAAATCCTTTGTCCCCTGTACTTGATTCAGATTGACTATTCCGAGTATAGACTCAGGAATAACTATTAAATCTCCTTCCACTCTTACAGGTGAAAAGCCAGACCCTGACCAAACATTTAAATTAACATCCTTACAGAACTTCAGCAGCTGTCTGCCCAACACTTGCACAACAGTGGTGTCTAATCACAACATATCCCACAGACAGCCTGACAGTGTCCTCATGGAGACACCCCAGGACACCATTGTGAGTTCTGCTCAAATCATTGTAAAATCATCTGCTACAATCAGTTTGTCTTTTCAGCTTAACTGAAAAATGTTAATTAAACTATACCCTGAGTACTAAGAGCTGCCTTTTATTCTTCAGGAATTGAACAGAATCAACCTAGAATCCTCCAATTCCAAGTATTCCTCCCTGAATTCGGACTCTTCCATGTCTTACATTGACTCAGCTGTGATTTCCTCAGATTCTGTCCCCCTGGGGTCAGGAACTGCCATATTGTCCAAACAGGCTCAAAATAAACCAAAAACTGGCCGGAGTTTACTGGGGGGACCTGCAGCTTTGAGCCCACTCACTCCAAGGTAAGTCCCTGGGCTGGCCAAGCTGTGGCCAGGGCTGAGCTGCTGCTGCTGCACAGCCAGACACACACACAGTGCTGGTAGAGCTTGGAAACAGAGCTGGGGAAAACCCAAACAACTTGAGGGACTGCTCTTGCTCCTAGTGTTGATCTCTTCTGGTTTTTAAACAAACACTTGGTTATTTGGAGAGGAGTTGTTGATTCAAGATCTTGCTTATTGCCATGTTGTCACTTGAAAAATCTCTGAAGGAATATGCTACTGCTGTGGAATAAACTTTACTGTGAAGGGTACTGTAAAGAGCTTTTCAACACAACCCCTGATGATGCTGTGGGTCCCTTCCAGCTCAGGATATTCTGTGGTCTGGGTCTGTGTTTTAACCCCTGTATCAGAGCAGCTCTCCAGGTCTAACATTCACACGCTGACTGTTCCTCTCTGATTTGTTCTCAGCTTTGGAATTTTGCCACTAGAAACCCCAAGCCCTGGGGATGGCTCCTATTTGCAGAACTACACCAACTCCTCCTCTGTAATCGATGTGCCATCCACTGGAGCACCTTCAAAGAAGGTACCTTGTATTCTGGAGCTCAGCTGCTCTTCTCAGAGCTTGACATTGCAGTGCACTTTAAAGAAGAATCCATAACACAGAGAACAAAAACATGTGAGCTAAGTTTTCCCCCCAGATGCCCAGGCTGTGGTTGCTGGACTGACCTAGGGAAGATCTCTGTGTTCTGTCCACCTCCCATCACGGAGGGTTGTGCAAACACTGAAGCTTCCAAACAACAGCAGATTCAGACTTTTCAGTTTGCAGGGTGGAGTGTGAAGACTTGGAATTTTTATTTATTAGAAGTATTTTCTGAAGCCTTAAGAGAGCTGAAGCCACTGATCTCTTGCAAGTAGTTCTTGAATTGTAGTTTACAGACCAGAGTAATAAAAATCCTGCTGCTGGTCTGTGAAGGACTGAGAGAATGGTGCTGGTTCACTCAGCAAAGTCTTGGGTAGAGGAAACTAAAAATTGTCTGTTTGACTCGGGAAGAAACTGCCGTAGTTGCCATAGTGATAAATGAGGGGTGGAATGTTGGTGACAGTTGAAGAACTATTTGTTCCTTTCTAAAAACAAAAACCTGAGGATTTTTCCTTGTATTTTTAGTAAATCTACAAGTTGCATGAAAGGTGTTGGTGTTTTATAGGGGGCAGTATTTTGAAATAGTGTTGAATCTCTCAAAAAGTAGAACTTGAGTTGCTGCATTTGCTCTGGACAAATCTTGATGCCCACCTTGCTGTGCCATTCTGAAAGGGAAATTTGGGTCAGTTAGGAATGTGCTTTGTTTGGCTGAGCCAATTCCCATCCTGTACTTGCCCAGGAGCATTTGAAAGCAGTGGCTTGGGGTGCACTGTGCACATGTAGGGAGGGAAATTTCCACAAGTCTGAAAATGGAAATCAAGTTAGTAAGGTGCAGCTCTTCTGAGAGCTGAAAGGCTTTGGGGAATCAAGTGGGATTTGCTGCTGTTTTGTTGCTTTGCTGAGTGTGACACAATAGCACCGAGGTGTAAATCTCATTACTCCACACTTAGGCCCTGCCCAGATGGAGTTCTGCTACTAGCAAAACACAAATATTTAATAACATTTTAATAAACAACTTTAATAAACAACTTTAATTCTGGTTCATGCTTTGTCCAGTGCAAATAGTGACTGTTCCAGTTCACTTTGCTCTCCCCGTTCTGTGTCAGACAAGGTTTGGTGGAGCTGTGGCTGAGCAGAGCAGTTTCCTAGGAAACACTTACATAAGTGAGTGAAGCATTAGGATGAATCCAAAGCTTCCTGTCTGAGTGGGCAAGTTTCCTTGCTGGACACCTAAAGCATCCTCTGGGAAAGGAAGGGAAGGACAGAGTTTTAGAGGTTGGATAATGCACACACTGGCATTGCTTGTGCTGGTGTTGATCCACTTGTCCCTTTCTGGTGTCTCTTTCAATTCAGTGATGGCTGTTTGGATGTTGGTGTACCTGGAGTGGACAGAAAGATAATTTTTTTAGAGGTTTTTTTCTTAAAATAGGAAGAGGAGGATCTGTTCTGAAAACAGGCTGAGGTGCTGTGCAGTTTGTGAATGGCTTCTGAATGGGATTGCAACAGGATAATTCAAAAATAATTTTCTTTCCTTTCTTTGTTTTTTTTTTTTAACAACTTTCTGAAGGAAAAACCCCTTAAATATGATGTCTTTTACTTCCCTTTTGTTCTTGCACAAGCACTTTAACATGCAGTTTCTTGCCACTAGATGGAGATTCTATATCTTGAAATAATGTGCATAAGCTTTGCAGACTTGGTGTTACAAGGTGGAAGGAGAAACACTTGATGGTTTCCCCTGGGGACGGGGGAACCCTCTCCTTTATTAAAATAATGGTGTTTCTGCTAGTGCAGTGTTTGGTGGGTGGAGAGGGTTGGGTTTGGCTCAGCAGGGATGGAGGTGCCATAACAAACCTGTGGAAACTGTGTCGTGCAGAGTGTCAGCAGGATCAGCCAGGCTGGGACGAAATCTGTCTTCTCCCAGAGCGGGAACAGCCGGGAAGTCACTCCAGTTCTTGTTGCACAGACACAGAGCTCTGGTCCCCAGACAAGGTAACACAATCACAGTCCTGGAGCGTTTCTGTTGAAAGCTAGAAGCTGTTCCTGTTCCAAGTGGAGCTCACTGTCCAATTTCTGTTTTCAGTACAACACCTCAGGTATTGAGCCCGACCATTGCTGCTCCACCCAACGCGCTGCCTCGGCGAAGCTCTCGCCTCTTCACCAGTGACAGTTCTACAACCAAGGTACCAGAGCTGCAGCCCCTGCCTGCCTTACCCGTGCCTGTGCCAGCCTCCCTTTCCACCCTTCCTTTTCACACATTCATGGCTGTTTTAGCAGCTTCAGAACAGATTCTGCACTGAGCGGGGCATGGTTGTTACACCTAACTTTACACAGCTCACTCTCAACTTTGGATTTCTGAATTTAAAAGACTCTTTTATATGTAACTCTCACTTTTCTTATTCACAGGAAAATAGCAAAAAATTAAAAATGAAGTTTCCACCTAAGATTCCAAACAGAAAAACAAAAAGTAAAACAAATAAGGGAGGAATAACTCAACCAAACTTAAATGACAGTTTGGAAATTACCAAACTGGACTCTTCCATCATTTCAGAAGGGAAAATTTCTACTGTTGCACCACAAATCCAAGCTTTCACTCTACAGAAGGCAGCAGCAGGTCTGTTTGAGCACTGTTGGACTGTAGTAGAGTAAAATCTGATATGTCTGGGTTTTAATGTTGCTTCAGTATTTGCTTCTTTCCCATTTCATTTAGCCTCTCACCTTTGCATAGTGATAAAAACTGATGTAATCCAACATCTTGTTAACTTAGAAACATGTGAAGAAATACTGAGAGTGGTGATTGTCAGCAGATACATCTTACAAGCTCTGGTCCTTATTAATGATTAAAGTATTTTCAAAGTATTGGTATATAAAGTATTATAAATGATTATGCAATGTATTAATTACGATAATAGAATAAGTAATGTTATTATGATTAGAAGTGTTGTTATAAAGTATAACTTCAAAATTTTCAAGTATATAATTTATGACAGGATTATTATTCTTGGAAACTGATTCAGAGGAGTTGCTCATAACCCAGTCATCTCCCCTCAACATGGGATTTATGTGGTCTGTTCTCCCTTGGTATTTCCCATTTGTTTAAAAACAAGTCTTTATTCAGATTGTCAGAAAATCCTAAGCAAAGTGCTGAATTCCCCTCTTTTGGCTCAGGAATGTTTCCAGGCAGCAGGAGGATGTATCCATGGCTACCAGGCTTGTGGAAACTGCTCAGACCTAGAGAAATGTTTGAATAGCTCTGGAAATGCAGAACTCCACTCACCCTGAGCCCCAGAGTTTAAGGACTCAATATTTTCTGGCTTCCCTTACAGAGGCTGATATTCAGAATATCATGCTCACGTTAATTAAGTGTATAATGTTGAGGGTGTATAAACCTTGTTTGGAAACTCCTGAAAGGTTTTCACAGGCAAATTCAGGGGAGAGCTTTTGGAATTAGCACTTCCAAGTAAATAAGTCTCAGCTGTCTTTTCTTCTTTTTTTTCCCCCATTTTTATTTCTTGTGTTTTTCTCCTAGAAGGTTTGATGAGCCTTCTCCGGGACATGGGGAAAGGTTATTTGGCCTTGTGCTCCTACAACTGTAAAGAAGCCATCAATATTTTGAGCCATTTGCCATCCCACCACTACAACACAGGCTGGGTGCTGTGCCAAATTGGGAGAGCTTACTTTGAGCTGGCAGAGTACATGCAGGTAGGAGCTGGGGCTGGGCTCTTCCCACTCTGCTTTGGCACTTTTACACAAAACCTGCAGATCTCCTGGCAGATCTGTGGGGAGTTTGTAGCTGTGGTAAATGGATAAATACGAAAGTTAAACCTGGAGTGGATTTAGATCTTGACTCTGCTTCATTTAGAGTTTTGTGTTATTTCTTCCTGTATCCAAGTGTTGGGGTCTCCTCCTTGTGTGTCCTGTCTCTGCCTCCTGCTGTGCTGACAGAATTGTTTGTACTGCACTGTTTTAGAATAGATCACACGGCAGTTTGAGCTCTAAGCCCAAAAACTCTCCAGTTAATTCTGACCACATCAGTGACCCAGTTTCCCTTGCAGCCTCACAAATGAAGCATTGGCACAGCTGAGGTGACACCAGACTGCTCCAGAATCAGAAGTGAGCAGTTAGGTGAACTGTGGGATTCCCCTTCTCCTTGGCACTGCTGTCCTGACAGCTCATGTGCCCACTTGCTGGTTTTTAAAACATTCCTTGGCACAATGTGTGCAGGAGACAAAGGAGAGGGAGGTTTTGGGCTGTTTAGAGAGGGAACATGCTGGGTGCTGTCACAGAGTATTTAGAAAGATGAGGGTACAGATTTTAATCACAGAATTCCAGAGTGATTTGGGTTGAAAGAGGCCTCAAAGCTCATCCATTCCCACCCTGCCATGGCAGGGACACCTTCCACTGTCCCAGGCTGCTCCAAGATCTGTCCAGCCTGGCCTTGGGCACTGCCAGGGATCCAGGGGCAGCCACAGCTGCTCTGGGCACCCTGTGCCAGCCCTGCCCACCCTGCCAGGGAACAATTCCTGCCCAAGATCCCATCCAGCCCTGTGCTCACCCCTTATCCTGTCACTCTCTATGGGGATGGTTAACAGTCATAACTGGCCCATAAATTCTGTTGCTCTCTCTCTGATTTTGTGGATGGTTTTTTTTGCCTCACTTGAGCATGGATAGAAACAGGAATGCAGCTGAGTCAGCAGGAGGGAGAGCTGGCTGCATTCCTGCTGGCAAAAATATCCTGGGATACAGTCACTTCCTTCCCTTGAAAGGAAAGTTGCAAGACTTGCAGCTCAGTGTGGAACACTTAAAAAGCAAAGAGGATGCTCAGGCTGGACATGAGGCCTTGGACCTTGGCCTCTGTGCTCTGTCTTGGTGGGTGGAATTTTATTTTAAGTCTCATTTCTGTTCTCAGGCTGAGAGAATATTTTCAGAAGTGAGGAGGATTGAAAACTACAGAGTAGAAGGCATGGAAATCTATTCAACCACACTCTGGCATCTGCAGAAAGATGTTGCCCTTTCAGTTCTCTCTAAGGATTTGACAGACATGGATAAAAACTCACCAGAGGTACAAAATGCCGTGGGCTTGAATGAGAAGAGGTGACCTGTACGTGTGAAATCCGTGATTGAGAGCAGAGCTTTGGGCTCTCGTGCAGTTTACTCTGCAGGGGGAATCCACCTGAACATGGCAGAGCTGGAGAGGAACGTGCCAGGCTTGTCTGTTCAACTGCTCCTGCCTGAAATGGCTCCTTAAAATTTGAATATCAGCTTCTGTGGAGCAGGTTGAAACCTTTTATCTGTTAATGGTTATTTCAATTTGCCTTGGCACCATGCAACCAGGAAGATCATGAGTCAGTCACTCCTGCTGCTGCCAGTGTGCAGAGATAAGGAATAGCTTTTTCCTCTACCTTTTAATTGCTGTAGTTAATTCACCAGCACTTAAAATATTTCTTCCAGAATTTGTTTGTAGACATGATATTGCACATTTTTATACCAAAATTCATTAAACTGCAGGGTGTGTGGTAATGTAGTCACAATGTGCCAAAACCCAGAAATCTTTCAATGAGTGCCACGGTAAAAATAAAAGATGTGAGTTGATAAATGTGCTCTTAAGAATTGAGCAAACTGTAGAGGATGTTGGAAATCTCTTTGGTGGAGGAGGAAATCCAATTCATGCTGTCCTGATATTTTGTGTAAGAGTGGAAAAATCAAACCCAGTGAAGCAGTTGGGGGTTGTGGTAAGATTAGTCAGGATAGAGGGAAATGGTTCTAATCCAAGGACTGGAAAATAGTTCTGTGCTTCAGCAGTGATGCTAAAAATCTGGGGCAGTGAGGGACCCTGGGCTGGGGTATTTACAGTCTTGATGGGTGCTGAGCAGCAGGGAAAGAGGAGGTTGTTGCTAAAATTCTTCCTCTGCAGATTTCCAGATTTGTCAGTTGGAGGGAGCTGAAGAAATAAAGTACCCTCTTCCTCTTCGTTATTCTTAAATATCAAAGATGTTTTATTTCTGGACTTTTCAACAGCTTCAAAAGCTTTAGTCATTAGTCATCGAGGGATCTAATTGGCACAGACTTGTTGGGTGTCCATGGATTCTCCATTTCTGTGTTTCAGCTTGCTTATTTATTTTAGAAGGTGTGTTCAGCCCTGCTTGCCTCACAGGACTGAGCCTGAACTAATTGTTGATTTATTCCTGTTTTTACTTTTTAACCTAGGAGTAAGTTATTAATAATGATTTCAAGCAGTGTAGATAAATGTGTTCAGCTCAAACTTAGGCTTCTGCTCCTGCCCTGCCGTTGCAGGCCTGGTGTGCTGCAGGGAACTGCTTCAGCCTGCAAAGGGAGCACGACATTGCCATCAAGTTCTTCCAGAGGGCCATCCAGGTGGATCCAAACTATGCCTATGCCTACACCCTGCTGGGCCACGAGTTTGTGCTGACAGAGGAGCTGGACAAAGCCCTGGCCTGTTTCAGAAACGCCATCAGAGTCAACCCCCGCCACTACAACGCCTGGTGAGTTTATCCCCAGCTCTGGCCCTGCTGCTGCATATGCTGCAGAATTCCTGTGCAGGAACATCTCCTGGGTGCTGCCCCTGCTGTGATTTCACTGTCACAGTCTGCTTTGGAAGGGTTGGAAGGGACCTTGCAGCCCATCCAGTGCCTTCCCTTTCCACCCTCCACCACCCCAGGTTGCTCCAAGCCCCGTGCAGCCTGGCCAGGGATGGGACAGCCACCCTCCACCTGCCACTCTTCCCTCCTGACACGGAGCAAAGCCATTCCTGCAGAACATGGGGAGGCTACTTCCACAAGGAAGGCAAAACATTGGAGTTTTTGTTGGTTTTCACAGATTGTTTAGGCTGTATTACCCCAGCTCTTTTGTTGTGCTGGGCAGCATTCTTTGTGCATTGTTTTCTCAGTTGAGATCTCAGCATCTTCATGCCTTAGGACACACTTTGTTTCTTACAGCTTTTTAATATGTAAAGCAGTCAAGGTTAGATCTGTGAGTGTGAGCACTTGGTGTTAATAAGTTTCTTGTGCTTTTTATTTAGCAGTTACTTAGCCAGTCTTCCTGTGTCTCACACATCAGTTCTTCAGTTACCCAATGGATAAAGAAAAGAGAAAATTTTAGACAGCTTTTCCCCCAAGAAATCCCTTCCCAGCCTAGATGGGGTTGGCAAGGCTACAAACCATTCCTGCCATGTCATGTTCACTGACAGAAATGAGCTTGGTTAAAATCCAGTGCTCCTAACCAGAATTGTTTCTCTGCTGCAGGTACGGGTTGGGAATGATTTATTACAAACAGGAGAAATTCAGTCTGGCAGAAATGCATTTCCAGAAAGCACTTGACATCAACCCTCAGAGCTCAGTCCTGCTGTGTCACATTGGAGTAGTAAGTACATGGCACTTAACTGGGCTGGGGAGAAGGGCTTGGGGTGGTGAGGAGGGTTCTTCTTTCTGTGGGAGGCTTGTTCAGACTTGGTCTAGAATTGGGCAAATACTTTTCTAAAGGAGCAGACTGTAAGTAAACACAGTCAGGAGGGTTTGTCCTTGCCCTGATATTTTTCCCCTTTTGGAATTGTTCTCTCTTTGTGTGTCAGGTCCAACATGCACTGAAAAAATCTGAGAAGGCTTTGGACACTCTGAACAAAGCAATCAACATCGACCCCAAGAACCCACTATGCAAATTCCATAGAGCCTCGGTGTTATTTGCAAATGAGAAGTACAAGGTCAGTCTCAGTGCTCAGGGCAGCCTTGACGTTCCTGGAGCTGGGAGTGGGGATGCCTTGGGAGCTGAATATTCACAGGTCACCCTGGGGAGCACCAGGGCTTGCAGGAAGAGCTGGGCCATGGGAAGCATTTGCTTTGGCAAGTGCCACCCTCACCAGGGTGGTGTGTTCAATGTTTTGATTGTAATAAAATCTGGGACCAACAGGTGTTGCTATTTAAATTATTATTTAGTCTGACCCACTATCATGGGTTTATAGTAAATTACTAAAAAAGCTCAGCCAAGTGCCCCATATCCAATTACAGCAATAAGAACCAGCTGTTTCCAAGGTTGTGTTGTGGAGTGAAAAATCAGAAGTGCAGCAGTTTTGGGCTGATCCCTGTTTAGAGTAATAAGATCTTCCCACAGTGTTTATCCAGTGACTTTTCCTCTGGCCAGTGTTTTTTTGGCTCCAGAAGACAAGCCAAGTCTGTTCTGAAACTTGCCTCAGAAATGTGTGTGCACACTGGAAGGGAAAACTTTACTTCAAACTTTTTTTTATTTCTAACTGCAGATTAAATACTTTTCAGTTGAATTTCCTAATGATGCCAGGTGACTGTCACAGCAGAGTAAAGAGCTCCAGCATCAAGAACTAGTTTAAAAGTGAAGTAGAAGTTTCACTAAAAGTGTTTGGTTTCAAATGCCTAATGTAAACACTCTTTCCAACCTTTCAGTCGGCTTTACAAGAACTTGAAGAACTGAAGCAGATTGTTCCCAAAGAGTCTCTTGTTTACTTTTTAATAGGAAAGGTAGGTAAAACTTGACTGTGATCAGATGTGCTTTGGTTTCCTTTACTGCTTAGTGAGAAACTTTGATGCCTGTCACTAAGATGCTTCCACTTGGAGCAGTACTCTAAAAATTCCCAAAGCTTTAAATAAGGTTTAGTGCTCACAGCTATATTATGTGCCAGCTTTTAAATGCAAAGGAGAGTTAAAGAGAGCTAGAGATGATAATCCATCCCTCAGCCAGCAGAGCTGGTTATTTGCACATGTAGCTATTAAAATATTGAATCACATTCTCATGCATTGTGTCAGAAATACTGAATAGGAAGCAGCTACATTCCAACCTTTCTAGTGTGAAATGCCAGAGAAGGGATCTGGGGGCAGAAATCCTCCTTCCCACCAGCTCCTCTGCTGATAAGCCTTAAATAACTTCTGAGCTTTCTGCTGGGGGGTGTCTGGTCCCTTGGAAGCACTAACACAAACTTCCCTCTAAGGCAGTGCTGGAGAGCTCTCTACCAGCAACATTTCTTTATTTTGTTTAAACTGGAGAGAGGTAAAAGGGTTTGTGCTGAAATGAGTTCACTGGTATTTGTCCAGGCGTAGCTGGACCTCTAAACTGACGTGAGAGTGGCCATGCCTTGACAAGCTGAAGTGTTTTCACTGTTTAAATGCTCCACACAGATAAATAACTTCCTCATCTGCCCTTTAGTGATAAAGAATCTCTTAGCTGCTAGTTTAATTTTTTTATTTTTAAATAGAAACACTTGCTCTTTCTACATATAATTATTTCCCTTGGGACTCGCATAATAAATTTTTCATATCCACCCTCTGTTGCTTTCCATAGAACATCACTGAACTCTGGCTTGGAACTTTCATGGCCTAAACCTTCAAGTAGCAGCTTCATGTAAATGTAGCCTTTTCTGCTTTTTTTAAATTTATTTTTAGGTTTATAAAAAGCTGGGTCAGACACATCTGGCCCTAATGAATTTCTCCTGGGCAATGGACCTGGATCCCAAAGGAGCCAACAACCAGATCAAGGAGGCCATTGACAAACGTTACCTGCCCGACGACGAGGAGCCCATCACCCGTGAGGAGCAGATCAGTGAATGTTACCCCTACGAGTCAGGTGTGTGCCAGCCCCGTGTGCCAGCCCCGTGTGTGCCTCTGCTGAAGGTGTCATTCTGCCCAGCCCAGTGAGAACTCTGCAGGCTCCTCACTCAGCATTCATTCATTTTCCCTACAGAAAGCAGAGCATGAAGGGTTGTGAAATTCCTTTAGATGTAGTAGGACAGAGATGGTGGTAACTCTAAATTTATACAAATCGTGGGTGGCTTTAAGAGTATCCCAGGAGAGCAAGACATTCCCAGGGCTGCAGGTATTCCATCATAAAGCATCAAATAATTTCAGAGTAAATGAATGGCAACTGAAGTTGTCTGTAGATGCTTTTTCAGAAGTTAAACTGGATGTTGGATCAAAATACTTGGTGTGCTGAACATAAAAGGTGGCTTTTGATGAAGGTCATGGAAGCAGTTTGATTTGGATCAAGAGAAAATAAAACACTGTAGGGAGTAATTCATGGAAAGGAGCAGCCCAGGTTTTTCTTCTCTCAGCTTTTGATTATGAACTTAAATTCCATAAAGCATGGACAGTCATAAATATTGACCTGCAGGCTGAAATGGAGATAGAAAATAAATGATAATAAGCAAAGAAGGAAATATATAGCAGGATTTGGATTCCCTATTAATAGACAAATGCTGTGTCCTGCAATTCCAGATTCTCAACTGAAAAGTAGGGATAGGTGACAACTGTATATCATCTTGTTTTCTATTGGTCCTGTGTGCCTTTTAATATGAGAACTTTACCCTGCACTGCACTTCTGGAAGTATCTAGAGTCTTTCTCTCCCTGCTGTTGTAATTGGGGTAATTTTGTGCCCCAGCTCCCTGGGCTGAGCCTGTTCTGACCAGGAGATGGAGACAGAGACTGGAACTGCTGAGCAGTACAGAAAAAAAACCCAAAGGGCAACCAAACAAGAAAAAAATAAAAAAGGAAAAAAAACCAACAGCTTGATCTGTCCAATAAACATAAACAAAATAATAGTTGGGCTGTGTGACAGTTCAGCTCCCCTGGCTGTGTGGAAGAGTTCCACAGCCTCAGCTGAAGGAGCCTCTCAGGGCAAATGGCACAAATTAAAGTAATTTAAGGGAATTTGGGGGGAAGTGGAATTTGTTTTTTGGATGCCCCCCTGACCCCCAGGTCTCTCTCCCCTGCAGTGGGCACAGACGAGTCCCAGGAGAGCAGCATGACGGACGCTGATGACACGCAGCTCCACGCCGTGGAAAGTGATGAATTTTAACCTCCAAGAGCCAGTGTCTGAGCTTGAGTGTGTGTGACTGGTACTGTCGTGTTGTCCCCTTCCTTGGCATCCTGGGTTCTACATCTCTGAGCCAGCACTGTTGTTGTTCTCCACTGACACCACGAGTGCACCTCAGGCCTGAACTCGGCAGAGTTCATGGCAGTGCAATACCCAGCTGCTGCTGAGTCTCACTACTTGGCTCTTACACACTTAAGGCAGTGACTGAGGAGAAAATGCTGGTTTTGGACTCCCCCTTGCTGGAAAAAAATATCATGGAAGAGACTTGTGGTTTGCTGTATGGAAGCCAGTAGGTGTGGGGATAGTACTAATGACGAGGTGTCTTGTTCTTTTTCCAGAAATGTGTCTTAGTTTGGGTCTTTCTTGGTAAGCAGAGTGCTGAACCTCATTTCCAAGTTCTCCAAGGACAGTGTTGACAAACAGGCTGTTCAAGACTTTTGCATATTGTAGTGTAACTTAAATGCCAGGGAGTGTCAATGACCTTACAGCTGCAGTGTCTCCAGTGAGCAGCCAGGACTGGGCGTGTGTCAGGCCACGTGGAGCACCCCTGGCCCTGCCCAGGGTGCAGCTGCAGGAGAATCACATTGCAGGATCAGAGCTTTCATCAAATGCTTTCGTGTTCTAACCATGAGTTAATTTATTCACCTGGTTTTGGAAAGGTCAGTGTTTACTTTGTATTTCCATCAGCACCACCTTGCTTCATTTTTTCATGCACCCCTCAACTTGTTCTTCCCCTTTGAAGAATAAAAATTAATAAAGGGAAAAATCAAGAGAGAAATGTAGATACAAGTGTAATGTGAAACATCAAACCCTTAGTCCTGTGAGAGTGGGAAGATTGGAAGCCTTAATACAATCAGAACCTTGGTCAAACACATCAAATAATTGTCTCAGATCTCCTCAGGTCTGGTTTCACTTTGAAAACTATTTTGTGAAGTATGGTCCAAGCAGAATGCAAAAATGTGCAACTATCTGTCTCTTTCCTTATTTTTTTAAGCTGTTCTTTCAGTTTCCCATTCTAGGAACACTCTCCTTTCCTCCAGGGTCTGTTTCTGAGAGGAGAAAGCTGTGCCACATTAGTGAGTCCAAACTGCTCTCTGTAGCATTCTGCAGCAGCAATTGGTGCCCTTTGTGCAGTGATGATAAAGAAAGTGTATGATACAAGCAGTTTTAAAGAGCAATTTATGCCTAATAAATTGGGAATGATATGAATTTCATAGCAATGTATTTGTTGTGATCAGTCTTAATGTTTTTCTTTTTTTTTTTCTTTTTAATCTATTGGTTTTTAGTTTCCTTTATACTTCAATTTCTTTTTGAATTCTGTCCTTGTCCACTTCGCACCTCTTCT